AAGAAATTGGAAAGTGTTACGTGGATGGCTCGCAAGCAGCAACATGCTGAACACAGTACTTAGAAAACTACACCTTCAAACCAGGGCAAGCCGCAAGCTGGACCGGTGTGTTACCTTTCTCGATCAAGGTGTGTTTGGGTGGGTATCTTGCGCAGGCCTCACTGCTATAAGGGACCGGCAGTATGCTTCTCGAGGCCATGCTCGGCTCACTGACGAGTTATGTACGGCCTTTGACACCATCCCGGCTGTGTTTGACATGCGTCGACTATGCGTTAGCGACACCGCGGAAAGGATTAATCTACAAGTCTGGTGCGTTACACTGGGACGATCTTGTCTCCTGTGTTATCACAGATGCAAGTCACGCTGATGAGAGTGAGGTGATAACCGGGAACAAGGAAAACATTGTGGAGCTAGAGCCAATGTGCTAGGCTTACCTGTCTTGGTACGGTTAGCTTCATGTCACCACATGAAGGCTACGTGCACTTCATCAGCGTGGTTTCCAAGAAGGTCAGAAGAGTTTGCCGGTCTATGCCCGAATAGCATAAGCCTAGACCTCCGAAGATGAGAAGCCATTTTAGCAGCCTATATGAGGCAGAGAGGGTTCACTGACAGCAGCTTAACAACACGCTCAGGAACTTTAATATGTCAAAGCATGAGGGTAAGCGACTCAGCATAGAGATCGTACCCACGCGCGAACCTCTATGGAGGTCCAACGGAGAGGCTTTCGGCGATCTTTTCTATGGACGACCGGCCCGTTCAACCCACCGATGAAATCAGATGGGTAGACACAATCGTCCTGGTTGCCGAGCCGTTGACTAAAATCATGCAGAGCACAACGCTAGAGTGCTCTCTTACTGGTCTTCCTATATGTTTGAACATAGATCAAGAGAAAAAAACACATAAACATAAGCTTTCGGTATTGGGACGACATAGTAGGGACAGGCAGCGAGAAGGCAGGCTTTTGCCAGTTTACAGGTCCATGGGTGATGTGCGGGAACGGATAGATCGCAGCTTGGGCATAGTAGCATATTCCACTCGCGAGGCGAGGTTGTAACAGACCGCCTTCTCACTGCATATACAGTCGGCGCAACTGCTTCCATTATGTAGAAATGGTGTTTGCTGTGTTTTGGCGACCCACAAAAATTCAAACCCGCGGACATCCCCGCAAGAAACCCGCGCGTCCCGAGCAAAAAAGTTTGATCCATTTTTTGGGAAGAGTACTTTGCCCTGTTTTTGCAGGCACATAAACTTTCTTAGGTGCTGATTTCTCCGGACGGAAATTTCCCGGCATCCCCGGAGAATCTCAACAGCTGTTCAGCACTACGTCTTTCTCGAGTGTTTCAACAGTGCTGGTGGGAGGTGATTTAACCATGACCGGTAACTGTATGTAAAACATGGATTCAGTTCTTGCCTGTAACCTTGCCTTCGACCTGTGCACACTGCACACCGGTGCCGTTGTTACCTCCACTTGTTGGTTTCTATGTTGATGTCTTGCCGATTTGTCCCGAAAGCAACGTTCATTAATTTATGTAGATTTTTTTGCCCCTAATGGAGCAGCCAATAGACTTTGTTATCAAGACAATAACCAAACAGCTTCATAAAAGGAAGACTGGAGGCCCTTGTGGAGCCACTTGAAGGGATGGATTAGTCCACCCGTATATGTAGGTTCTGTGTACGACAGGCTCTACACCAGAAGACCCGCGGGTGTGAAAGTGTGTTCGTTTACCAGCGTGTACCAAGCCTGGTAATCCAGTTTCGCTGCCGTTGTACAGTCTTAGCTTTGGGAAACATGTAGTTTTGACTACATGCGACTGACCACACGGCGCCCTGTAAGGGCAAAAGTACCGGCGATGGCGATCGTGAGGATTGAGCATGCACTTGATGACAGCGATGATGGTGATGTCATGATGATGATGATGCACAGTGGACGGTGGCGAAGATGGTGGCGGTGCCGGTGGTAATGGTGGAGGTGGTGGTGGTGGTGGTGGTGGTGGTGGTGGTGTGTTGCTGCTGCTGTTGAAGCTGAGGCTGAGGCCAATGCTTGAAGATGAGGTTGCATATGATGACAACGATGATGCTTGTGATTATGATGACGACGACCGGGTGATTTTTGTTCAGTTTCCGTTCTGCCCGATTTTATAATTCACAAGTATCTTCTGCTTTTGAATAGTGGACCTGGGTGTCACGCGGGTAACTTTCCTGTGCAAGCCGCCAACCTTCCTGAATGATGCTAAGGTTTCCAGCCAAAGGGGACGGTGTGTGGCTTGGTGGCGATCAGACAAGACAAGCCTTGATGACGTTGTTCACCTTGCCCGGAGGCATGAATGAGTCTACACATGCATAACAGCTTACATCTAATTTATGCATATATGTCGCATGGACGTTGTTTTAAAGTGTGACTTTCTCCTCGGTTTAATAATTTGTAAATGCAGTCGCAACATAGGCTCTAAGCCAGTCATCACCCGCGGTCTTGCTTCCTGGTTTTTGTAGAGAATGTGACCTCAACAGCCTCAACACAAGAGGCTTAAGGAAGGATAGCAATGCCACAACAAGGCAAGTTGACTCAGCAAAAATCCCACCCTTCTATTTTAAGTATGCGTGCCCCTCAGCCGCTGCATCGCTGCATTGTATTAGTTCGGTCTGATTATGTGGTTGTCCTTGGGTTGACGGTGGCAGGGGGCATGGTGTCGGTCTCCCATCTTTTTGCAAGTTTTTATGTTTTTCTGCACCTTTTTCTGCCCACAGGTGAACATGTCTGTAGGCGTGCATACGCATGCGTGTCCATGAGGAGCATTCCGGGAAAAAAGGGCGCCACCTTCACCAGAGAAGACATTCTGGCAGCGTATCAAGCAGGACACGGCTTGTTCAGCATTTCAGAAATCATGGACCTGACGTCGTAGCTATTACGACTGGTGACTTGTGAGCAGAGTGCTTGGATCGCTATGTTGCCTGGTCTAAAACAGTTGCATGCCGATGCATCTGCAAACAGGACCAGTGGAGGGCCTTTGCCCGAAGCGCATGGAGACAAATCCGTTCAGCCTCTCCGATGTTAATTTGCTATCATTCCGAACATCAGTGCTGCGTGTTTGTGCAGCTGTGCCGATGATCAGATTTTGTCGATTCGTCTCATGGGTGCTGGCCGAGGCAAAGACGATTTTGACATGACCTGGGCAGAACGCTTGTGGTCCAGGCCATTTAAAGGTGTTGGCGTTATGGACTATGTACTTCTCGGTGCCTCTGCAGAAAAATAGTCACAAGGTGAAAAGGAAGGCCTCCAGCCAGGCAACCCCTAAACCCTAGTGAGGCAACAATCGGCATGCTGTCGTGCTTCTGCGGCAGATCCTGTTGAGCAAAGTGCCGAGGTTCAAAAGTCAGCCCCACTTCGCAACTTGGCCAGCAGCGAGGCACTGTGTCGGGGCCGGTGTGATGTCTAGCGTCCGGACGGTCGTTTTGTTCACTGCCGTTCGGAGGAGATTGGGGCCAGTTTCAGCCTAGGTACACGGACAAGGCGCCGGGCGCGGACAAGGGGAAATACACGACCGAAGTCCCCAAGACATTGACCCGGTGTACGGGCGGCCCGAAAGATCCCAACTATGGGAAGTGGCAGGACAAAGACGACGTCAGGAGCTCATTCGCTGGTAATTGTTGAGGTCAGGTGGAGGAATGCAACCTTTTCCACATGAAAAGGTGAAGAATTGGAAGAAGGCCCGTAAAATGTTCTTCGAAAAGATGAGGGAAGTCATTGACTCGCAGGTCGCTCTGTGCCCCGTCTGAAACGGCTTTAATAGGACCCCCAGACCCTTAGACGAGCTTGCAACATGAAAAGTGCTCGCTCTGAGGGACAACAATGACGAGTTCATCCGCCATCTTACTTACTTCACATCAGCTATTGGGCCAATCGTGGAAGAAGCTTTCTTCATCAACGAAGCCCTGAATGACATGAAAGGCTAGATGCACACAGCAGTGCCGCACAGCTCTAAAGGTTTCTGTCCCATTCTGCCAGGCTACCTCGGGTATTGGGCAAAGACAAGCCAGTTGTCGGCACCCGGCTCCATAATCAATCTGTGGCCTCCTAAAGAATTGAAGGCGAGTTCAATTTCGGATCTCTAGGACTGCGGGAGTGTTACCGCCGCACTCCGGAAGGTGAAGGGCAAGGACAACCAAATCGTAGACTACACCGACGGCAGCAAGATCAGCGAGATGGTGGGCCTGCTTTGTGGTTCTTGCATCTTCGACAAATAGAACATGTTCTTCGTGTTAGGGCTATGACATCTTCAAGTTCCTCAAGCCGAAGGATGCTGAAGAGAGCCAAGTGCTTGGGTTCGGCAAAGACGCGTCGCGAAACCGACAGTGCTCTCGCTCAGGCTATGCGGAACAGCTATCACACGGTCAGGACTGAATGGTGCTGTACTACAGGGTGGAAACGAGGAACAGATTTCCAGCCAGTAGGTGATGCTGCTACCTGCATGTGCAAGGATGGCATCATGCTAGTGACGATGCTGGAGTACATCCGACGGATTTCTGTCCGTCGGCAGAACAATGGGATCCCATTTTCGATTCATTTAAGATTTGTTCGAATGCGTTGGAAGCAACGGGAAGCAACGGACAAGACCATTTGCGAGCCGAGGTTCGACGGGACAAGAACACGAAGGTCCTGGTTGGCGTTTTTGTCCGGTCTGACATTCCTGGAGCTGACCTCGATTGCGATGGAGCGAAAGCTTCCCTCCAATTTGCCCAAGACCTTTCGGATATGGTCGGATGGACCCGCAGCCTTCCGGGGGTGCTGCCCCACCTCCATCAACGCTAACATCCAAAGTCTCGTGGACACCAAAGGATGTCCAACCCCACATCCCTCAAAGCCCACAGCATCAAGGAGAATCTGGTTGGCTAAGCGTGCCTTCTACTCCGCTTGGCGCGACTGTCCGAAAAAAAAAGTTGCGATGCTGTCAGATTCAGAGGCAACATGGCTTTGCTGTGCTGCAGCTCAATTCGTGGCAAAGGCCGATGGAGAGCGTCGAGGCGAGTGTCCCACATTCGCGGCTAATTCTCGCGTCCAACGCGTTTGGAATTCGTTGTTTCCGGGTGCGGCTTCAAGCGCCGAGTCGATGCGGGAAGAGCGCGCATGTGGCATCATGTGACCATATCTGCCAGGACCAGGCTGCCATCTCGGGTGACGAAGCGAAGTTCATTCGAGAAGAGAATCGCATGCTCAGAAGGCGCCTCCGCAGATCTTAGACAGCCGCCCTCGGCCTAGCCCAGGCATCGTAGGACTCAGATCCTTAGGCTGTTTCTGGGATGAAGCTTCGGCCTCGGGCGCAGGCAATTGGAAAATCATCCAGAGGCCAGGCCCCTTCGGGAGGGGGAGGCATTGGATGCCTGCTCAGCTGCTCCGTGATGTCTGCTGTCTGCCAATGTCTGTCACCCCAACGAGGTGCAGCGCATGATTGCAGAGAACTGGGCTCTGCGCTGGAGACCCAAAGTCAGTACAAAATGCCGTCACCGCCGGTCTCATCACAGAGCAGGTTGCCTTGCATGTGCCACAGGGGAAGAACTGCGAGCGTTGGATCCAACAGGCGCTGGCACCATTTCGCACGAGGACCCGGCTTTTGCTGCTGCGTGCGAGGTTGGCCGCGGGTTCCCGGACAGTTCCAGCCACAGTGTGAAGCTTCCATCGCTCCAGTCTTGAAGACACCTAGGCCTGAAGTGCTGTAGTCTATCCATGCCTCACAAGCCACAAGAACTCGATGTAAGCCTTGTCCCTGCTTTTGAGGCCATCGCCTGCAGGTGCCTCACAGCCTCACGGTGCCACAACAGAGCCTGTTCAGAAACTTCTTGTCTCCATGGCATTGTGGCTTTTGGGAGGCTCGGGGGATGGCGAAAACAAAGTATCTCGGCAGCACGCTGAGAGATTCTGCCAGCAGGGGCCTTTCCCTGACTCCTAGGTCCTGCCCTCGCCCCCTTCCATCAGCTCGGAGGTTGCGGCAGGGTTGGAAGTCACTTTGGAGCTCTGCCTCGCCCAAGCAGGTTCTAGCCGGTGTCGAAGCGGACGACGAGAGCTCGTACGCCAGCCTGAAGTCTTGGGGGTGGTGTGTCTGCGTTGCGATCTATAGGAGCAAGACCTGGTTCTACTTCCAGAAGATGGCAAAGGAGCGAACGCATTTGGAGTGCGTACCGGGTACCGCATGTATCCGCATGCCATGGGCACCAGGAAGTCGAGGAACTCATGCGGGCCAAGGACCGAAAGAGCCTGCGCGAACGTTGAATCCCATGGCCGCCGGCCGACTGGCAGCCAGGAGAGCCTCTCGCGAGCAATTGAACGGACGCAAAGAGAGCCCGGCCGGTGCCCCTGGGGTTTAGGGAAGCCGGCGTAAAGTTCGGGAGTCGTCTGAGGCGGCGCAAGCCAGGCCGATTTTCTCGTGAAGTTCTTTGTGCCGCCCAATGCAAGTCACTCAAACCTCACACCTTGTGAGGGATTGAGCAGCGAGGTGCTGGCACCTCAGCCTCTGGATCCATCTTCGCGTTACACACTGGGCGGGGCATTTGGGAAGGCAGAGCTTGATGAGCCAGCCTGCGAAGGACGGCAATGCACACAACTTCTGCCGTGGGCTGGGCGATGCCGAAGCATGTTCTGAAGCTTTAAGTGCATGAGTGCATACTCGTACCCCATGCAAGCAGCCAAGCAAGCAAACAGCGCAGCCTGCAGAAGGCTTTCTTGGCCTTTGGCAGCTTTCCAGAATCTCTCAAATCTAACAATGAGCTGTTCAATGTCCCACTGCTGCTGGTTTGGCCACATTGTCAAGTCTTTGCTTGGAGGGGTTGGGAGGCAAGAGCCCGCTCCAGAAGCTGGGGGACACCCAGCCCCTCAGTTTCTTGATTCGGTGTTTGTGGGAGCGGAAAAAGCAGCGGAAGAACAATCCAGTTAGAATACCCTCGATCCCTAATTTTCAAGTTCTGCATCTCATGGGGGGATTTTTCTCGCTCGGCAGCCGAGTACAGAGGCCGCAAGCCGGCGGGCATCCAGACCAAGTCCGTAGCTGGATTCCAGCTACGCCGCACTGGCCGAGATCACAGTCCAGCAGGTATTGTGCATCGGCCAACACAGCCCTCCCCCCAAAAAACTCGGCACCCTCCAGTTTTGAGTATGTATTCGTTCAACATCTGCAGTTTGAGGAGGCCAGGGGACATGCCAAGAATCCGAAGCTTCTCTACCAAACCTGCCACCAAGCAAGACCAGACGTAGACCAAAGGCAGCAGGCACCCGGTTCGGGGTTGGCAGCCTTGTAGCAGCATTGCAAATCGGCCGGCCATGGCACGAGTCGCAGCCTTGTAACACATAGACTCTGAAGTCTGAAGGGCCAAGAAAGTAGGAATGAGGATGGGCAGTCTGTGCGACTGCCGTGTGGGAACCAGCAGACAACTCCCATAGTGTTGAATGTTACAGAGGCATACGCTATGCCCAGTTGCCTTCTGTTGTTTTGCTGTCCTGCTGTAGACAGCATCGCTGACTCGTGCAGAACAGGATACATATCTTACCAGCATATTAGATACATAAATATTATAGATCGAAAGATAGATAGATGAGATTGAAGCATATAGAAACATGAGACCCAGTGCAACAAAGGACGCATGCGATTAAATAGCTGCGCCAGCCGTATAGGTTTTGTTTGTAGGGATGTTGACATTAATACGCATTCACAATATTTCAAGCGGTTGAAGAGTGAGGCAAACTGCCAAATGCAGGGTAGGTTCTGTCCAGCTTCTGCCAGCTGATCCTGGTCCACATGTTGAGCAGAGGAAGCTTCTGGTGCAGTTCCTGTTTCCTCGGTTCTCGTCCCAGTGCAGCAGTGCAGCAGTCCGGTACAGGCTACAAAGGCGACTGAAGAGGATTCAGTCTCACTTCCACGTGATCGAAGTGGCTTTCAGGTCGTTGAGCTGGACATTGCCACCCAAGAAGCCCTCAAGCAGGACCGAACTTCGCATTCCACATGTGGGTAAAGGCAAGACGACAGAGCGGCAACACTGGAGACACGGCTTGCTCTTTGTTGCACACTGTTATGAAGTGATTGGTGTGAGGGGTTTCTCGGGCAGCAGCAGTCGAAGTAGTAGTCAGTAGCAGCAGTAGCGGCAGCAGTAGTAGCAGTTGTAGTGGTGGTAGTGGCAGTGGTAGTGGGAGTGGTAGTCTCAGTGAGCTCGTCGTCGCATAAGTCGCAAGCGCAGGCCTCGGCGTAGGCGAACGGGTAAGGGTAGGCGACTCTGATCTTGGTCAGAGTTTTAATCGTAGTGTAGTCGTAGCTATAGTCATAGTAGTAGTTGTGTTGGACCTTCAACTGGGTTTATACGAGGAAGAGGCCGAGGATTGTTGGAGCAGGCTACTACTACTACTACTACTACTACTACTACTACTACTACTACTACTACTACTACTACTACTACTTCTAGAAGTAGTAGTAGTAGCAGTAGTAGCAGTAGTAGTAGTAGTAGTAGTATCTTACCAAGCTTGCCCATCTTAGTGGGGGGGGTCAAGGTGGTACACTTGCTAATCCTGAAATCTTGGCCGTCTGGGGGGGGGGGGTTGCAAAATTGCCGGTCAACGTTGCCAAACTTGCAAACTTGAAAAGTGGTTTCCGCTTTGCGGGGGGCAGCGCATGGTATCTTGGGGGGGTGCGCATGCTACTCTTGTAGTCTTGCACAGGGTTGGGGTAGGTAAGGTTTGGGGCTTAGGGTTTAAGGGTTCAGGGTTTTCCATGGGGACGGTAAAAAAAGTAAGATTACAAGATCGTGCGCGACTCGCCCCTCCTTCAATATCGGAACCACCACCAAGATGGGCAAGCCTGTACGCCAAGCTTGCTCCCCCCCACCCCCCGCCCCCCAACGCCGAGCAAGCTTGTGTACCACGTTGACCCCCCCCCCCAAGAAAAAATCTTGAAAAGCAAGATGGGCAAGACTGTACGCCAATCTTGCCTCAAGAGCGGCTCTAAATCGCAGGGACACAGTAGTGGTGGTGGTGGTGGTAGTAGTAGTAGTCGTAGTGGTGGTGGCAGTCGTAATCACGAAAGCTAGCCTCCGTGGCTAGCTGAGTTCCTTACCAACCGAAAGGTTGCATCTAGGGTGTGGGGAAGGGCCCCCGGCCAGGTGGGCAGTTTTTGCGTATTTGAGGCTACTCCCCGCCTGGTGCTTGTTTTTTGGGGCGGCCCCGCCGGGTCCGTCTTGGGGTGTTTGAATGTGGTGCTTCAGACTGCTTCCGAGTGGAAAAACGGCTCTCCGATGATGCTGCTGATGCGCGTTTGTTGGCCCCAAGAAGCTCCCAATGATGCTCATGATGCGCGCTTGTTGGCTCGGATTAGGATCCAAGACACCTCCAAATGATGTTCCCGATGTGGCTTGCTGGCTCCGATGCTTATGATGCTTGCAGCTCATGATGCTCACGCATCTCACGCGTCGCGTACTTGTTCTATGTTGGGCGCTCGACCTGAAGCCATTCTAGGCATGATATACACATGTATTTATGGTATATTTGTGTATATGTACATATATATATATATATATATATATACGTGTGCATGAAGCTCTGATCCAACCTCTTCCATATTCTGTTTTTTTACCATTTCCGCGCTTGTTGGCTCGGATTGGGATCCAAGAGGCCCCCAATGATGTTCGCGATGTGGCTTGCTGGCTCCGCTCACGCGTCGCTTACTTGTTCTATGTTGGGCGCCCGACCTGAAGCCATTGGCTTCTAGGCATGATATACACATGTATTTATGGTATTTTATGGTATGTTTGTGTATATGCACTTATATATAATATATATATATATAATATAATATAATATATATATATATATAGATATATAATATAATATAATATAATATAATATAATATAATATAATATAATATAATATAATATAATATAATATATAAATAATATATATAATATAATATAAATATAATATAATATAATATAATATAATATTAATATAATATAATATATATAATATAATATAATATAATATATAATATAATAAATATAATATAATATAATATATATAATATAATATATATATATATATATATATATAATATAATATATATATATATATATATATATATATATGTGTAAATGTGTGCATGAAGCTCTGATCCAACCTCTTCCATATACTGTTTTCTACCACTTCATACTCTACTAGTACTAGAATATACAGTCATATGTAATAGCAGCTGCATCTCGACGAACAACAAGCGCAAGCAGAGCATGGCTTGGCCCCGTGGGTGTCACCCTAGACACGCACACACATAAAACCCTCGCTGAAGCCAATGCCTCTTAAGGTTTGCAAACGACCCCGTCCGTTTGGGAAGCGCTGTGGAAGCCCAACCCCGGAATACCCGCCGCATACTCTGCACTGTCCGCTCTCAAGCTCCGAACATGGCACCGATGCAACGCCAAGTAGTACTGTGTAAAGGGCACAAACGCCCAAGATGTGCTCCGGCATGGCAAAATTTCGGGAACATGCAAACAAGATCTGCTTTAATTTCTCGATAATAGTGCTTTCTTCTCGGTAGCGGTGTACTTGTGCTATTTTGCGCACGTGGAAGCAGCGATCTACTTTTAAGTTATCGATAGGGTCCGATCGTCTGGTCGGCGCAAATTCCTCCGAATTGATGCACTTTCTCATGGCAAGTGTAATGCACATTGAAATTCGTGTGCATGCTGACCTCTGCAGAGTCTTGTTTCCCGCGTGTCGATGTTTGCAAGAACTCCACGCAGAAACCAACCAAAGAAGCCTCCTACATCTAAGGGCAACCGTCTCGCCTGTTCCACACAAAGTGTTGACTCTGATATGGCAAGAATGCAAGAGACGAGGTGATTGCAAGAGAGTTTCGTTTCGTTGGAGGCTCAAGGACTCCTTCAGGGGCCCGGCTGCGCCCGGCTACCTGCGGTCACTGCGGCCGGCGCTGCAGGGCGGCGCGGTGCGAAGGAGGATCGGAAGCAAAGCCTTGAAGCCTTGATCGAGCTCTAAGAGTTTGCCAGTGAGTGACACAGTCATGCGGGTGAGCGTCATGAAAGCGCCTAAGCCCCCAAAAGAACCGTAAACCGTGCCAGCACTTAAAGAGCCCAAGCGTTTGCAGTATGGCATGAGATTCAGCCCTGCCAGCTGTCAAAACCTCCCAAACTCCACAAGCCTCAAGGCTCTTGGCGGTTGCAATCTTCGGCTGGAAATAATCGTGAGCAAACTTTGGAAGCCTTAGACGCGTAGAGGCTCAGCAAGCGGTCTGGAGCATGTTTGCAGTAGAGGCTTTGTAGCTTAGACGATGAGAAGTGCTTAGGCTAAGCCGCTCTTGGCCAATTTTCCGGTATGCCCAGCAACGGATTCACGTGGATTTCACGTCTCGCATTTGCAGAGGGACCGGTCACTGCTCTAAATAGCTAAGCAGATGCATCTTGAAGCGCTAGTTTCCTGGTAGTCGTGAATGCGAAGCTCTGCCATTGTTGCAAGTCCCGCGGAGAACTGCAGGTAGATGACGGTCGCTCTCCAGAGCGAGGAAACGGGCGGCAGATCAGGTGCTGCTCGGGCAGAAGTGCATGCCCCTGCGAGGATTCGCACCTCCGGAGCAGGTGCTTCCGCTGAGTTGCAGGTGTTGTAATGTAGCTCGGAACGGAGCACTGCTGCAGGTTGGGGCGGTGCCATGTGACGACGAAGAGCGCTTTAAGCAGGCCCGTGTTGGCACCTGAAAGCCTTTGTAGCTGGAGCTAGCTTCGCACGCTTGCTTCTCGACGTATCCTGCTTCGGCATACTTTCGTAACCAGTGTTTTGCTTGACATTTGGTCGCAACCTGTCGACACATTGCTTGCAATGTTTCGCCGCGGACAAGAATTTGCTCATGGGAAGCGCCGTAGCAAAGTGTGGAGCTGCCTTCTCCAGCCAGTACTGACGGATGTGTCTTTCGACCATGTAGAGATGCGTACAGTAAGGACGAGTGATGTGCCCGCACCAACATCCTACCCCGCATGGTTTCGGTGATTTAGTGGGTCCGATGGTTCGGTCTGGTCTGCCCTGCTCAGTGCTCAGGGTCGGTTCTGCTTAGCTTAGCTTCTCGCTTTTTTCTGAGTGGCTTTAGCTTGGGGGCCCTGGTTCCTGTGTTTTGCCTCCGGCATTGCCTTTTCGGGCCTTTTCCTCTGCCTCGACTTGGGCGCCTTCCTCACCACTGCACCTGCTCGGCCGCCACGGCCTCTGAAAGGCTGCAGAGTCTGGACCGCTGCCTGAGTCTTGCAGGCCGTGCAGCGCATACAGCAACTGCAGGGCACCGCCCGGAGTCCCGAGACCTTCGAGACCTGAGCCGCTGTTTTTTTTCTTGCTGTTGGTCCTCGCGACCGCCCAGGTAGACTTGGTCAGTGCTGCCTACGGCGATGCTTTTGATGAGTTCCAGCGCTTGAGAGAGGCTCTCACCAAGCTTGTATGCTAATACGTTGTAGCAGTGATGGGTTTGGTTGCCAGGAGTACGAGAGCCGGCTTGAAGAGTGTCAATTCTTTGAGCTGCAGTGCAGTCGCCCGTGTCTCAGTTGTCAGTTGTCCAAGTTCAGACAGGTGCCAACTGCAGCGAACAGTCACCCAACCAAGCTGCCTTTGCATCGTTTTCGTACTAACGATAACTGGGTCCGAGGTCTAAACCTCACCTGCCTCGATCTAGCAGAGAGGCCAGCTGAGAGGGTTGAGGGATGAAACTCCGATGGCGGTTCTGATGAGAGCCGTCCGCCAGAGCAAGAGGAAAGGATCCCAAAGAAAAGCTTGCATCTCGTTTCAGAGGCTTAGCGGTGGCAAGAGCGCCATGCGTCCACGCCCAGGTCGATGGCCTAACGGATGACCATGACCTTGTCTTGAGTTCTATCGTAGCAGTCATAGCAACTGGCGGACCGACGTTTCAGACCGGTTTTTTCGAGGCCTTTAGATCTGGAGAACTCTCACCTTCGGCTTTTATTCTTGTGTTTTCGGCATTTGAGCTGAGCTGCTGTTGCAGCAGACAACACCGATCTGAGGCTTCAGCACGACGGGCCTGTGGCACTCGCAGAGTGCAGTGGAGAGACAGAAGCGAAGCTTTTCTATGTCGCCGCGGGCTTAGTTCCACGTTCAGACGTATTCAGGCAGTGACAGGTCATGTCACACGTCTTTGGTTGTTAAGTTTTTAAGGTCCTTGCGAGATGCGACCTTCTGGCAGCAGAGGTTCGAGGTCAGGTGGATGGGTTTGGACATCCTGAGATCGAAGTGGTCCTGTCGTTTCAGGAGCTTAGAGAACTGACCGGAGCAGACCCTTTGCCAGAGGACTTGAGTGTGCTTCGGCTGCAGACGTTGGCTTGCCAGCGGATTGAAACCTCGTCTTGGGTCCACGAGGTCACTGAGATGCCCGCGCGGTCAAGCGAGTCCCTTCAGGGCTCAACTCCGTGGATGCTCGCCCTTCAGCCGCGCTTCAAACTGCCTCCCGCCATCACCTTCCAGTCTGTTCGCTGCATCTTTGCACAGCCTTGACAGCTTCGATGACAGGGAGACATCGACTCAGGCCGCGGCCGCCAGCATGTTCGTTCATGATAATGAAAGCAGCCCGTGCAGACTGTGCTTGGTTTGTGCTGTGTGTTTTTTGGTTTAGGGAGTTCTTGTGATTCTTTAAAACCTGGTTCAGGAGATTTAGGGCTTTAGGTGTAGAGACATAGGTTTTTCGGATTGAAAGGTAAGGGGTTGTTGACGTAGGGTGGGGGCTCCAGTAGGTTTGGGGCACACTACGCTGTGTTGGCTGTGCTTGTTTCAAAATACGGGCACCTTTCCCGGCATGCGGGTCTTTGGCATTGCACAGGTTGTCACAGTGGGTTTCCGTGTCAGCACATTTCCTGAATCTTAACATAGTTTGGGTTTGCGGCTGTGTGAAGGCAATCCAGTGAGGGTGGCGGGGATATTGAGGTCCAGACTTACACCAACAGTCGGAAGTACTAGTTACCAGCGTGACGGGTCTTCCTCCGAAGCGCAGTCGGCCATGTTCTACCAAACGCAGGGGCTTCACTGCAGTGATGTACGGTCTCGGGTCCTTTTTTATGAATGAGAGCCCCGAGCTCCGAAGTTCGAGACGCCGCGAGAGTACCAGCGACACAGCTTCGGACCAGGGAACGTTGTCCAGTCCAGCTCCCTGTCTGCACTGCGGAGCGAGACCAGGCAGGTCTGCCTCGTACTTCAGAGCCTGTAGTAGTGTTGTGTCATGCCGTAGCCACGTGACACGCAGCAGCTTTTGCGTTAGCAGTCGACAGCTCCTGTTCAAGAACTAAGCATGTTTGACTCAGCTGTTTCGCCACGGTTGCGCCCGGCAGCTGAGATGTTGACCGTAGCTGCTGCTCAAAGCTCTATCCCGATTCTGCAACAGACATCTGAAAGGCGAGCAGATTCTGTCAGTGATTCAGTACAGCAAACCCGAAAAGTCACCCACCCTGGTATTGGCAGTATTGGCCATGTCAGACTGCTGTTTCCTTCGTACACAGAGCGATCCGGGACTGGCACGCAATATCAAGTCCAGACTACAGGCTACAAGACACATGTAGGCTTACTCCGACTCTGCCCATCTCCTAAGCATGGCAACAGCGACGGCTGAAGCAGATGAGGCGGCACCTCTGATGTCCAATAGTTATCCAGTAACATTAGCCATCCATGTTTGGTGCTTAAAAGATGTTGAACAGTGCTGTGAAAACTTGAGGCCCTTGCAGGCATCGACTTTGTGCCATCCATGGAGGCAGGTTGGCTCAAGTGCACGACCACCCACAGGTTTATTCTCGCGCCTGGACATCGTAGGCACCCCTTGAGAACCAGAGTGATCGACGTGCTCTGCGCCTTGAAGAGCAGCCCCCATTGGCAGCGAAGCAACTGCAGGTCGCCGTTATTCAAGGAAGCGCTGCTGCATGATGCCATCAGCAACAGGCCAACTACGGCATCGGCTATGCGATGCTTGCCGGGTGCTTAGTGGCACGTTTCCATGCTTCAGCAACACCATCAAAATTCTCAGGTCAACATGGGCTACTCGGGGGGAGGTCCAACACCTCTCTGTGGAGTGAAGCGCTTGACTCGGGCCGGGCTGCAAGAAGATGAGGCACGACACCGGCGAAGCAGTCGTGGGTTGGGGTGCAGGTTTTCACGTTTGGTTTCTCCCCGCATGTGGACAGCAGCTGAATTGGCCGCAAGAAGTCTTCCAATCGTACTGCGGAGTTTCAGGCCATGGTCGTGGACGCTACGATGAAGCGAGGCGTCAAGCGCAGGAGCTGTGATTAGTACGCTTGAAAGTCCTCTGATCGCTGATGTGAGTGCAGGATGGAGCAATGGGCCAGGCTAGACAATCAGCGCCAAGGCCAAGCAGAGTTTGATACAGAGGAGGGGGAGGATGCCGAGAGTGCAGGACTCAGGTGCCACAAGTGTGGGTGCATTTTCGCACGTCCCTCGCAATACACGCCTTAATGATCCTTGAAGCTTCAGGTGTTGACGAAGACGAGGAGCTGTGTGGACTTGGGAAGGCCCTGGTCCGGGAGCTTCGATCCACGCGAGTCGCCCGGAAGCAATGTCACAACATGTCAGAAAACTCGGACATTGCAGAGCTCTGGCACACAGCAAACCACACCAAGGAGAAGAAGCTGAGTATTCCGCAGCTTGCGAAGAAGCCACGAGTCCTGAGGCCACCGAATTCAAAAACTGGGTTGGGCATCTGCTCTTAAGACACTTACCACTTGGCAGAGATTGTAGGGGCTGCGCCCAGGTAGCAGCCCCCAAACCGCAAAACATCAAGAACAACACTTAACGAGGACCGGGTGGCCTCCTTCCCCGTGTCCCCAGGGCCGTGCTGATATAATGATGCACGCCCCTGTTGCGACACCGATGCCAATTCCAAAACACGCACAATATCGCCCTGCGTTATGGGCCACTGCGGGCGCGCCGGGTACTCATGATGCTTGCCGGATGCCTCCACCATACCGTGGGGAATGGCCGAGAAAAGCGTGCATTTTCGGGTGGGCCTCCAAACGAGGTCCCGAACGGCCCAATGGAGAAACGAGGGGGTCGGCGGCACTGCCGTCCTCCGCTATTACAGGAACAAGGCTTGCAAGCCATGCCGTCTACGGCGGAGCATCACACGGCAGGGTGTTGCCCGATTTGGTTGTCCCTGCCACCCCGCGAGTCTGCACGCCTTGCCGCCGACCTTTGCTCCGTCACCACATCCATCTGGATTATGTCTCTGTTGTGATCGTAATTTGGCGCCGCTCTCATCTGTCAGATGAGCAGAGACCAACCGACCGACCGGCTGCTAGCACTATCTAGACTGGGCGAGACTTGTCTAGAGTCTAGACTGAGAAGAGTATCTCCGGTTACAGGAAGGGCAATGCACGAATACATGGATGCCTGTGAAGCTACGTAGTCGTGCAACTTTTCACTGCAACTCCGCATATTCTTGTCACTGCCATGGTCCAAAACGGCCCCTGCAACAGGGTGCTCGATCTGTGGCAAGTCGAAGCCGATCTCGAACGCTTCCTCAAGCAGTTCGTTCGCGACGAGCTCCAATCCATATGTGAACTGGTTCGATCGTCAGGATCGCCGTGTTCAATTGTCAAAGAGTGTGTCTTGTCTTAGGGTCACGGACCAGATGCAGATGAATGAGTCCAGCAGAGGAATTGCCATCAAGAAGATCACGAACAAGACTTCGCGGTTTGCACGTGCCTGCGAGGAGGTAGGATGCAGGCGATCAGTATCATGCTTTGCCGATAGCTCCTGGCGTCGTGGACGGAGGCTTGGGTGGTGCACTTGAAGGGCCAGAAGCAGAAGGAGCAGAAGGTCAGCTCATGATCGCCCGTGGGGAGTCCGTGGCTGGGGTTCGGTTGCAGGCGGCCGTGCCGAGCCCGGCTGGGGCCGGGGCTGCTCTCGGCCCGTGCCTCGAAGCCTCGCACACCTCGCGCGCCGCCTCGCATCGTCTCGGCTCTTTCGGTCAGCGCATCTCAGCGCAATCTGCAGGAACTGGTCCCTCAGCGGAGCCCCCCGCAGAAGCTCGGTTGCAGAGCTTCTCTGGCTGCGGTCTGTGTGAAGACGCCGACGGGCCGAGGACAGCCTTTATCCAGATGACTGGGGAGTTGATGTCGGCACAGGCCTAGCCTCCGCCAGTGAGAGTGTGGCATTCGGTGCAGCCGTGCAGCCCCTTGTTCCTGCTCAGGTTGGTTGTCGCAGCCAGCTCCGGAAGCAGAGCCTACACCAGCGATTTATGGTCCTTTGCGACTTTGAGCGGCGTGCAGCGGCTTGCCTGCTAGGACTAGAATTGAACGGCCGCGAGGCTCAACGTTACTGTGCTACAAGCACTCGAAGCCGTACATGTACACAGCTTCTGGCTTGGGCGGCCAAACGCACCCAAGCCGGCTAGCCTACCAGGACCGTAGTCTTTGGTGGATTCGCTCTTCGGGCGCCGAGGCTTTGCCTGGCATGTTTTTGGGAATCGAAGCCCCAAAACCATGACTTTCAGCAGCAGAAAGCCACGAGCAGAGGTCGTACAGAGCCCACTGCCAGGACAAAAACAGTTCCAACTCCTGCATGTGCATGGTGTAGGGCCTTATGTGACAATTCGTTGTTCCTGGCATGGGTCGAGGCCGCAGATGCAGTACACAGGTGCCTTGCAGCGCTGCGAGTTCTTGTCCTGTGGAGCTGGGATGCAGGCTCCTACATCCCACTGATACGCAGGAACTTCAGCCTCAGCCGACGACTTGCTGCGGCAAACCCGGCCTGGCCAAGCCACTTTCAAGCGAGGTAGGTATAACTGGACTGGACAGTGCCCTGCATTTCACGGCTTTCGGAGTGGAGCCATTTTGCAAGGGCACGAGCATCCTAACCTCCATGCCTCAGCCCTGTGAAAACAAGACTAAGAGTACATGCGCCGTGCTGGCATTCGTTTGCAACCGAGCCGGAGCCGCCGGAGCCAGAGGCCGAGGCCCCTAACCAACATCCCCGAAGCTTCTTGAGCTTGAGCACGGTAGCACGGTCGTGACAACTTGAGATTCAGAGAATCCCTTGCTCTGCCGGGCCCGCCTTGGGCCTTGCCGCTTGAAGCCGCTTGATGGCTTGAGCTGATGCTCGCGCGGCTCCCGCGAGATGTTCAAGGCAGAGCCGGCTGCCAGCACTGACTTCCGAGATGCAGATGGCTACGACTTCGTGGGCGCCTGCTGCTCCTTGGCCTGGGCCCTGGACCAAGCACAAACGACGCTCTGCTCCTCCTCCGGCCGGTCCGGAACCAAGGAGTCCTGCGGGCTTCGGGACTTCCTTCCCTTCACATGCCCTCATTGCAGCCGCAGCTATTGTCAAGACCACGTGGCCCCGGCCAAGCACGACTGTGGCCAAGCAACGCAGTCACAAGGCAGCTCGCTTGGCGGAAGCGTTTCAGGCAGGTACGAAGTCTGAGATGGTGTCAGCAGAGGTATGGTCGCTACACTATGCGTTCGCTGTGGGACCACGGTGAAGTGGGAAGATGCGGCTTCAAGCGAGCAGGAGGCGATGAAAGAACACCTGAAGGCCTGTGGCCGCTTCTCAGCGACTGGCGCTTCTGCATTGAGAGCTCTCAAACCTCTCTTTCTGCGACTTCTCTGCTTTGACCCCACGTCAAAATAGCACCTGCCAAGCATACGCAGTCTCTTGCCGCTGGCGTTGGTTTACTGTCTGCCCGGAGGTGTGCAAGCCCTTGCCACAGACAGCCAAAGAGAGGCTTCGACTTCTCTAGCCTGATGGAGTTGGACCTTGTTTAATCTGCGACACTAAGGGATTAACATCATTCGGATCGCTTCGATTGCCTTCAAGACCTCAGGACATGTCCTGCTGAAGGCTGCAAGACCAAGCTGAACACGATGAATTCGGTGGTGTGTCCGGAGTGCAAGGCCAAGGTGCGGCAAGCATCAGCAAGCCAAAACTTGAATTTGATTCTGCTCTCGTCTAGGTGAGTTTTGAGTGCTGTCTCCAGGTCTGCTTGAAACACCGCTTCGAGGACCCTGCGAACGCTGCTTCGAAGAAGCTACATTTCACCTCCGACTGTTCCTGCCATAGGACCAGCATCCGTGTCGTGAGAGCAAGAGGGAGTGGCTGTCGAGACTGTCATCGGATCGCCCAGAGCTTCTGGGATGCACAGTCTTGAAAAATCGAAGACCCACATGGAAGTTTCGCTGCAGCTATCCCAGGACAGCTTTGCGACATGGGGCTGCTCAAAACTGGGGCTCCGGTGTCACGGGCACGCGGATTGCAGCACCGCAGCATAGCTACAATCAAAGCCTCTCCGAAAGTGCGCATCAAATTCAGCTGAAGCTAAGGACACCTTGTGTGCGAGAAGCCTCAACGGGCTCGGAGGCCCTCTGTGGAAATCTATCGAATCCGTCGAATGTTGTTCTCATGTCCTCAAAGAGCAAAAGCGCTGGAACTCAAGGGACGCTCGAGCGTTTGGGCGTTCTTTGCAGCCTGCGGCAACCTTGGACCGAAAGCAGGTTGTGGAAGCGAGGCGATTGGTTCCCGAGGCCCGATGCATGTTTTTGCACACGACGTCACGTGAGCTGTTGAAAGCGAAGCTTAGCAGGCGCCTGCTTCAAAGCTCCTAGAACTGCGGAGGGCTCTCGGCAATTCGGAGGAGGCAGAGAGGAAGCGTAGGTCAGTGCCACCCCGGCAAAGCTCTTCTGATCCCTGGAAGGCCGAGCTTTGCATGTCGACCTTGCGTCGCCTGCCGCGGAAGTAGACTTCTTTTGCTTTTGCCGTTTCAGTCAATCTCGGCGGGGTAAAGTCAGGAAAGTTGCTGTCCAACGTTGCGGCCGATCCTCAGAATCCCAAATTCCGCAGCGTGAAGAGAGAGAACAAGGCCGGGCCTCTGAAGCTACGGCGCTACGGTAGATCACGGCGTGCTACGGTTTTGTGGTGCCAGGCTATCCAGCAGAAAATCCTTCAGGTACCTGGCGGGGAGGACACACGCCTCTGTGGTAAAACACTCCACCTGAACAGATTGTAGCTCTCATCATTCAGTTGCCCTTGCCTTTTCAGTGGCGTGGTTGCTTTGCAGTCTTTCCTCCACACAAAATTGTGCCAGCCACGACCTGCAGACATGCGTTGACTGAAGGGATGCGGGATAGTGTTGCCAAGAGCGCAGCCCGCGGGCCCTTGCCAGGGTGTATCAGGGTTTCCGGGTGAACTAGCATTAAGAGATTTAGCTAGCCAACCACTGGGCTCACCAGTATGAATTATTATTTCATTTTATTTACCTCAAATTTACCTCCTGGATTTACCTTCCTCGTTTTCGTCTTCCTTTTATTATCCTCAAATCTTCCTCAAATTTACCTCCTGGATTTACCTTCCTCGTTTTCGTCTTCCTTTTACTATCCTCAAATCTTCCTCAAATTTACCTCCTGGATTTACCTTCCTCGTTGTAGTCTGCCTTTTATTATCCTGTCCGCCGCCGGAGGTAAATTTTAGGTAAATTTGAGGTAAATCCGGGGGGGGGGGGCAGCCGGAGGTACATTTTATATAAAAACCCTAGGGAATTTACCTAAAATTTACCTCCGGGGGCTCCCGGTCCGCTGCCGGAGGTAAATTTGAGGTAAATTTTAGGTAAATTTGAGGTAAATCCCGGGGGGGGCAGCCGGAGGTACATTTTATACTAGAAGACAATTGGCCCGAAAGCATCATCAGCGAAGAGTGTGGGGCTATGTGATAGATCCAGTGTGTAGGATCGTATGCAGATACAGTCAAGAGTCATGGAGTCCATGAGTCATGAGTCATAAAGTCATAGAGTTACAGTGAGATAGCGTCATAGAGTCATAGTGGGATCAAGTCGCAGAGTCATGGAGTCATCTATGTAGCATGCACTTGACTCGATGTAGTTCACTCTATGCTCTATGTGTGGGAACGCTTAATCGAGATCCCCATAGCGTGAGGGCTCATAGCCCGACCTGGACCTCGAGAGGCACATACAGTCAAGAGTCATGGAGTCCATGAGTCATGAGTCATAAAGTCATAGAGTTACAGTGAGATAGCGTCATAGAGTCATAGTGAGATCAAGTCACGAGTCATGGAGTCATCTATGTACCATGCACTTGACTCGATGTAGTTCACTCTATGCTCTATGTGTGGGAACGCTTAATCGAGACCCCGTAGCGTGGGGGCTCATAGCCCGACCTGGACCTCGAGATGCAGATACAGTCAAGAGTCATGGAGTCTATGAGTCATGAGTCATAAAGTCATAGAGTTACAGTGAGATAGCGTCATAGGGTCATAGTGGGATCAAGTCGCAGAGTCATGGAGTCATCTATGTAGCATGCACTTGACTCGATGTAGTTCACTCTATGCTCTATGTGTGGGAACGCTTAATCGAGATCCCCATAGCGTGAGGGCTCATAGCCCGACCTGGACCTCGAGAGGCACATACAGTCAAGAGTCATGGAGTCCATGAGTCATGAGTCATAAAGTCATAGAGTTACAGTGAGATAGCGTCATAGAGTCATAGTGAGATCAAGTCACGAGTCATGGAGTCATCTATGTACCATGCACTTGACTCGATGTAGTTCACTCTATGCTCTATGTGTGGGAACGCTTAATCGAGATCCCCATAGCGTGAGGGCTCATAGCCCGACCTGGACCTCGAGAGGCACATACAGTCAAGAGTCATGGAGTCCATGAGTCATAAGTCATAAAGTCATAGAGTTACAGTGAGAGTAGGCCGCCACGTTGCTTGCTCGCTCTCTCGCAAGACAGCGTCGAAGCAAGCAAGCAACGGTGCAACCTAGCCAGAGCGAAGAATTCGCGGCCCGCACGGCTCACCGTGGAGTCAAGGGCCGCGCGGCCTGAGGAGGTGCCGGGAGAGGTCATCCCAGGGATTACGGCGGTCCGGAGCCTCATGAAAACTGCTGATTGTAGTTGCAAAGGTTCATCGGGAGCCCCGAGCCTCCATAGCACGCATTATACCAACCCAAGGTATAGTATCATGGAAGAAGAAACATAGCGGCAGCTGACGAACATCCCCAAACGGAAGTCGCAACACTGGTCTCTGAAAGTAGCAGGGAATTAGGGTTTCGCTCTTCATCTCAAACCACAAGAGGCCAGCGTATGTTTCTTAGCCGACCCAACAGACTCCAGGGGAACGCCACGGGCTTAGGGGTCCTTATTTCGTGTCTATCCACACCGGATAATCCACGAGGGCCTAGTAGGACTAATGCAGGGATCACGGTGGTCCGGAGCCTCCTCTAGAAAGATTGATTCTAGCTGCAGACATTCATCGAGAGCTCCAGGCTTCGGTGACACCCTGTGTATCAACCCTTGGTATACTATCTCAGAAGAAGAAACCCGGCGGCATCTGGCAAACATTCCCAAGCGGCAGTCACAACACGGGTCTCTCAAAGGATGGTTGGGGATTTAAGATCTATCCTATACCACAAACGGGTCCACCTCGCTGAGCCGCTGCGCGACTCGTGCCGCCGGGAGTCCAGCAGCGGAAGGCAGTGCAGCCATTAGGGATTTGGGAAGACACCGTTCCGAAGTGAAACACCCCACTTCACTAGGAAACCCGCCAGATGCCGCGAAGTATTTAACCCGCCAAGCAATCGAGGAGCTCCTGCGTCTCGATGAACCTTTATCTGCTCACAGGATGTCGCGGCCAGGAGATGAACCGAGGCATTGGGAATCACTACGCTTCCGCCGCACCAATGTACCAATGCGAGCACTTGAAGTTGCCGTTGATGGTTCGCCCATCATAGTTCTCGCTCGGCAGCCTTCGGTTGTCAATCGGCCTGAGATGTCCACGGTACCTCACGACTTCATGGTGGAATTCTGCACATCGGCTGGATCTGTTGACGCATCCATAGTCTTGATGTTCACATCTGCTTGATGTTGGGCTGGATTTGTTGACGCATCCATAGTCTTGATGTTCACATCCACTCGATGTTGCAACGGCAACTGCAACATGTCCACGCTTGCTTCATAAATGCACGCTTCGTGCAATGCGTTGTCTCTGTAGCACACACACACACACACACCCATACAACTGGTTCGGGGGAGTTCGGAGGATCAAGTGAGACCACAGAAGCCTTCGATTTGACTTCCATCTATGCAAAACAACAGACCTTACACTGCATCACGAAGCATTTCGGAGTCGGGTTGAAGGTGGAGGGCCAGCGCGGGAGGAACCTGGACCTAGACTAGGCTACGGCTACTCTTCCCAGGCGACCCTCCCCGGCCTTCGTCGTCACGTACCCGGCTTTCCGAGTAATTTCTGAAGCTGCTCACGAAGGTTGCCAGCCTAGAAACAACAAGCAAGCGCTTTCCTTCCTATGGCGGCTACGTTGCTTGCTTGCTCTTTCGCAAGACAGCGTCGAAGCAAGCAAGCAACGGCCCAAGCGACCGTCTCGGCCTGGACCAAGTGGGAGACCAGCATCAGAGAGGCGGCCTGGTGAGGTGCTGGGAGAGGTCTCATACACAGATTACGGCGGTTCGGAGCCTCGTGAAAACGGCTGATTGTAGTTGCAAAGGTTCATCGGGAGCCCCGAGCCTCCATAGCACGCATTATACCAACCCAAGGTATAGTATCATGGAAGAAGAAACATAGCGGCAGCTGACGAACATCCCCAAACGGAAGTCGCAACACTGGTCTCTGAAAGTAGCAGGGAATTAGGGTTTCGCTCTTCATCTCAAACCACAAGAGGCCAGCGTATGTTTCTTAGCCGACCCAACAGACTCCAGGGGAACGCCACGGGCTTAGGGGTCCTTATTTCGTGTCTATCCACACCGGATAATCCACGAGGGCCTAGTAGGACTAATGCAGGGATCACGGTGGTCCGGAGCCTCCTCTAGAAAGATTGATTCTAGCTGCAGACATTCATCGAGAGCCCCAGGCTTCGGTGACACCCTGTGTATCAACCCAAGGTATACTATCTCAGAAGAAGAAATCCGGCGGCATCTGGCAAACATTCCCAAGCGGCAGTCACAACACAGGTCTCTCAAAGGATGATTAGGGATTTAAGATCCATCCTATACCACAAACGGGTCCACCTCGCTGAGCTGCTGCGCGACTCGTGGCACCGGGAGTCCAGCAGCGAAAGGCAGTGCAGCCATTAGGGATTTGGAAAGACACAGTTCCGAAATGAAACACCCTACTTCACTAGGAAACCCGCCAGATGCCGCAAAGTATTTAATCCGCCAAGCAATCGAGGAGCTCCTGCGTCTCGACGGTGGCCAATCCCTGTGAAGGGTGCATTGCCACCCCCCTTGCGCCGGCGGCGCTGGCTTCTGGCTGTTGTTGCGCCGTCGTCGCTGTCGTCGTGTTGCTGGTCTGCATACCACCAGAGCAGGTCCAAGCCTGGCCACATTTTGTGGGGGGGACGTGGCACCCAGACTCCTCGCGAACGGGACCGAGACAGATGACTGCGGGGCACAAGCCGTCGAGGTGGTATATATACCACCAGAGCTCCATGAAGATCTTGGCGCCAGATGACTGCAGGGCACAGTGGACTCGCAGGTTGCTTGCACAGGCCGCAGGCACCGTCCCACCAAGACAAGCCGCGCATTTGGAGTAGTGCTAACTAAGCTCGTCTGAAGGGTTGCAAAGTGTGCCATCTCAATGGAAACTTCTCCAGAGGAAGAACAAATCATCCAAGGATCCAAACAGTAGCAGCAGGCAACGAACCTAAATCGGGACACCGGGTTGAGGAGAACCCCGAACACCTTCCAGCCCCACAACGGAAATTCTGAAATCAAACCAACCAAGCCCAGCAGTCCGCAGTCGGGATCTCAGGAAATGAACAGTGAACAGGTTTCTGTTAGACCGACCTTCCCAGCCTCGACGAATCCAAAGCGACCGGGCAGTGCAGGCAACCTGGGCAACAGGGTTGCCCCGCCCACGCAGTCGAACTTTCGCAAGACAGCGTCATTCTGCCACGAGCAGAAGAAACAGCAAACAAGCGATTTTCTTCTCGTGGCGGCGTCGTTGTTGCTTGCTTGCTCTTTCGCAAGACAGCGTCGAAGCAAGCAAGCAACGGTGGAAGCTAGCCAGAGCAAAGAAGTCACAGCCCGCACGGCTCACCGTGGAGTCAAGGGCCGCGCCACCCAGTCGCCCCAGCTCACGACTTGGTCGTTGTCAAGAACGGCAGCAAAACCAAGAGCGGAGGCTGCGATACCCCGCACATTCTTGAGCTGATCTTGCACGGCACTGCTGTCGCCACCGCGCTCTGGGAAGCCCCATGGTACAACCGTGCCGTCGGCCTTAATGGCAGCGAAAGCATTGAAGTTGCTTGCGATTTGCTCCACATCTGTCAACTGATGTTGCACTTTGCTGCTGTTGCCACCATGAAGGCCACAGCCCCAGGTTACGACTGAGCCATCGCGTAGAAGCGCTGCAAAGGCTCCGCGGTTACTTTGGATTTCCCTAACGTCCTTCAGCCGTTTCTGCACTTCACTGCTGTCCGCACCAGAATATCGACCCCCACCCCATGTAACCACGGAACCATCTGTGCGGATCGCTGCGAACGCATGCGTCGTCGATTGGATGGCCGATACATTGCACAACTGTTCCTGCACCGCGCTAGAGTCGCCTCCGCTGAAGTCTTCACCCCATGTAAAAACGGATCCGTCGGTCAGAATGGCTGCAAAAGCCCTCGATGAGGATTGGATGGCGGTGACGTTTTGCACAGGCACAGAACTGCATTTGCCCCAAGTAACGACAGATCCATCGTCGAGCAGCGCCGCAAAGGCTTCTCGTGCCGCTTGAATCTGCCGCACGCCTTTGAGTTGCTTCTGCACTCCACTGGAGTCGCCTCCGTGTACACATCTTCTCCACGTCACGACAGAGCCATCTGTGCATGTTGCCGCAAAAGCATCGCCGGTGGTCTGGATGGCCTGCACGTTCATTAAAAACTCCTGCACTCTTAGGCTGTCCCCACCGCCAGTTCGGGAGCCCCAGGTAACAACAGAACCATCGGCCTTGATAGCAGCAAAAGAAGATCGACCCGCTTGACTCTGCCGCACGTTCTTCAGCTGATTTTGCATAGCGGGCTCGATGCCGCCTCCGTAGTCTTGCGCGCCCCATGTAACAACGGATCCATCATCAAGAATCGCCGCAAAGGCGCCCCCTTCCTGAGACGATGCAACGGCCTGCACGTTTTTCAAACGGTCCTGAACAGATTTGCTGTCACCACCAGTCATAGCATTCCCATAGGACGCGACCGAACCATCGCGGCGGAGCAACGCACAAGAGAACGCGCTCGAGCTCAAAGCCGCGTCGAGGAAGAGGTAGAGATTGCCCGAATCAAGGCGACCCCTACCTCTTGCTCGCGCCTCCTCCAATGAAACCTGTTCTCCACTCAGGAGATGTACAGTGACACGTTTCATGCCGGTCGCGAGCTACAGCAAGCTATCAGATGGATGCTTAGAACAAGCATAACATTGACCCACCTGGCGACGACTCTGACGCCTCGCTGCAACAGAAGCTGACATGGACAATCATCCGGAACGCCAATTCCCCGTGAAGCCTGCTCCCCGAATCTCGCTTCCGAGCCTGCAGAAGTCGTCGGCCAGGCAGGGGCGCGGTGCGCCGTCGCAAGACAGCGTGCGCGCCGTACAAGCGCATGAATATATGTGTCTATCTATCTATCTATCTATCTATATATATATATATATATGTGTATATTATTCCTATCGATATATGCATTAAAATATGCTTAAAAAAAATATCTCGCTTCCGAGCCTGCAGAGCGCGCAGCTCTTGCAGCTTTTGCTGCGACACCGGCTCATCGGCCTGACAGCTATACTTCACTTCAGAGCACAAAACATCCCGCCTGGCGACGACTCTGACACCTCGCTGCAACAGAAGCTGACATGGACAATCATCCGGAACGCCAATTCCCTGTGAAGCCTGCTCCCCGAATCTCGCTTCCGAGCCTGCAGAAGTCGTCGGCCAGGCAGCGGCGCGGTGCGCCGTCGCAAGACAGCGTGCGCGCCGTACAAGCGCATGAATATATGTGTCTATCCATCTATCTATCTATGCATCTATCTATCTATATATATATATATATGTATATATATATATATGTATGTATATATATCTATATATCTATCTATGTATCTATCTATCTATCTATATATATATATATATGTATATATATATATATATACATATATATATATATATTTATGCATTTATGCACATATATATATATATATGTGTATATGAGTATATTATTCTTATCGATATATGCATTTGCCAATCCTGCCAATCCCTCTGAAAGGTTGCCAATTCACCTGTTGCACACCTACCGATTAGAACAATCGAAGAAGCAAATCCCTCTCAAGCCAATCCCTGTGAAGGGTTCCGCGAGCACCGCAAAATGTGTAACTTCACCTCGCGTTCAAGCACTCGACAACGCCAATCCATGTGAAGGGTTGCAAAATTCATCTCAATGCACATCAGAAATTGCAACTTTACCTCGCGTTCGAACACTCCACCACACCAATCCCTGTGAAGGGTTGCAAAATTCAGCTCAATGCTCATCAAAAATTGCAACTTTACCTCGCGTTCGAACACTCCACCACGCCAATCCCTGTGAAGGGTTGCAAAATGCCAATCCCTGTGAAGGGTTGCAAAAAAAAATGAACTGCACCCAAACCCTGTGAAGGGTTGCAAAATTCAGCTCAATGCTCATCAAAAATTGCAACTTTACCTCGCGTTCGAACACTCCACCACGCCAAACCCTGTGAAGGGTTGCGCGGCGCCCGCAAAATGTGTAACTTTACCTCGCGTTTGAACGCCCGAGGCAGCGAATCCCTGTGAAGGGTTCACCCGGGCGCCTAAAATGTGTAACTTTACCTCGCGTTTCAACGCCCGAGGCAGCGAATCCCTGTGAAGGGTTCACCCGGGCGCCTAAAATGTGTAACTTTACCTCGCGTTTGAACGCCCGAGGCAGCGAATCCTTGTGAAGGGTTCACCCGGGCGCCTAATAAGTTAAAAAATGTGTAACTTTACTTAGCGTTTGGGCCCTCGCCCATGCCAATCCCTGTGAAGGGTTCACCCGGGCGCCTAAAATGTGTAACTTTACCTCGCGTTTGAACGCCCGAGGCAGCGAATCCCTGTGAAGGGTTGCGCCGGGCGCCTAAAATGTGTAACTTTACCTAGCGTTTGAACGCCCGAGGCAGCGAATCCCTGGGAAGGGTTGCACGGGCACCGCATTAAGTTAAAAAATGTGTAACTTTACCTAGCGTTTGGGCCCTCGCCCATGCCAATCCCTGTGAAGGGTTCGCCCGGGCGCCTAAAATGTGTAACTTTACCTCGCGTTTGAACGCCCGAGGCAGCGAATCCCTGGGAAGGGTTGCGCGGGAACCCTAAAATGTGTAACTTTACCTCGCGTTTGAACGCCCGAGGAGGCGAATCCCTGGGAAGGGTTGCATTCCCGATGGACGACAACGGTGCCACCCCCTGGCTTTAAAAGAGAGAATTAGATACCGAGATGTAGAGAGTAAGTCATAGAGGCATAGAGTCAAGTAAGTAGAGGCATAGAGTCAAGTAAGTAAGTAAGTAAGTAAGTAAAAGTAAGTAAGTAGGTAAGTAAGTAAGTAACTAAGCAAGTCAAGTAAGTAAGTAAGTAAGTATAAGTAAGTATAAGTAAGTATAGAGATAGCATAACATAGAGTCCAGTGTCAAGTGTCAAGTAAGTAAGTAAGTAGAGTGAAGTAAGTAAGTAAGTAAGTCGTAAGCATAACATAGAGTCAAGTATCAAGTGTAGAGTCAAGTATCATAGAGTCAAGTGTCAAGTGTAGAGATTCAGTCATAGAGGTCAAGTAAGTAAGTAAGTATCAAGTGTAGAGTCAAGTATCAAGTGTAGAGTAAAGTATGGAGTCAAGTAAGTTGATTCTATGTCTGTCATCTATGTACTCAGCTGCGGCGTTCCACACGGAAGAACCCTTCGCGATGCTTTCGGGAATAAAAACCCTAGGGAATTTACCTAAAATTTACCTCCGGGGGCTCCCGGTCCGCTGCCGGAGGTAAATTTTAGGTAAATTTTAGGTAAATTTGAAGTAAATCCCGGGGGGGGCAGCCGGAGGTACATTTTATATAAAAACCCTAGGGAATTTACCTAAAATTTACCTCCGGGAGCTCCCGGTCCTCCGCCGGAGGTAAATTTGAGGTAAATTTTAGGTAAATTTGAGGATAATTTGAGGATGACAGGTTGCAGGGAGGATATCGGGGAGGATAATGGGGAGGATGATTGAGAGGATAATTTGAGGATGACAGGTTGCAGGGAGGATATCGGGGAGGATAATGGGGAGGATGATTGAGAGGATAATTTGAGGATGACAGGTTGCAGGGAGGATATCGGGGAGGATAATGGGGAGGATGATTGAGAGGATAATTTGAGGATGACAGGTTGCAGGGAGGATATCGGGGAGGATAACGGGGAGGATAATGGGGAGGATTATTTGAGGAAAAGGTTGAGGATGATACAGCAGAGCAGAAATCAGGGAAGGAAGATGCCGGAGGATGATTTGAGGTAAATAAAACGAAAAAATACTTATTCATTGAAATCCAATGGTAGGCTGCCAGAAAATCTCTTAAAACTAGCAGGTAACGAGGGCGTGCTGTTTTGCTGTTCAGAGGAGCTCATGAAGGCCATCGGCTTCGAGGATGCGGGTGAGATGCTTTCCTTGCCTGAGACGGTAGCCCCAAAGCGCATCGAAGCTATTTTGCAGCTCATCTTGTCCTGACTTCCTGGCAGCGTGCATTCGACATGCTTGAGTCGCCGAACGAATCAGGAAATGCAGCGTCTCACGTAGTCACAGCGAGGCGAAGTCCTGGAAGCGGAGAAGCCGCGGTGGAGTGATGGACGCGGCCGGTGGACAAGACGGCTTACAGAGCTGAAAAGTCGCGCCGCTCGATCACGTCAGTGAATGCCTCCCATGCTTGCCATCTCCTGTGATACCTTGTAAAGAAGGCTCGCCGCTGCCCTCTACTTGAAATCTGTGCAGATGTGCATGCAACGCGTCGTGCCTGCGGCGCCAGGAGGGTTTGCTCAGCGCCTGTTCTGGGCCCCGTGCAGGCTCCGCCACAGCATACTGTTCTAGTTGACCTTCCTGTGCCGGTCTTGGCAGGCTTCAACTGCCCCCGTCCAGCTTCCATGCTCATCCGTCTCGGAAGAGGCTGCTGTGCACATCGAGCGCGAGTGCTGATGCCATAGCTTGTGGTCCTGCAGTCCTGCACAGATCTGCACAGCGCAGAGGTGCCCCCAAACGCCAAGACCTTCCGGGCGACTCCGAGAGCTGGCGCAAAGCTCAGGCAACGAGAAGAGAGAGCCTCTGACACTCGGAGCCCCCTCCCCTACCCCTCCCGCCAGGCCTGGCGGCTTCGGTTGTTTCCAGAAAGGATTCGAGAAAAGCAACTTACATGAGCAGTCTGTTCTAAATATACGACTAGCCAAGGCCAATGCAAGACTGGTCGAGAGGTATTGTCAAGCATCGACTAGGGCACAGTTATGTGTGGGACGTGTAGAGGATTCAAGAGATTTCAGCGATGAAGCGCAAGCGATGCCATGCAGCCTGGTGACATGTTCGAAATGCAAATCACTGACTCTCTTTTTCATCTTGCTATGCCCTGAGCACAGGGCCCAGGCTAGCGGCCAGCGAATTTGTGAAGTCAAGTGGTAGCCAATGGATCATGCTTTGCCCAACGAGACATTGGCAAACCCAGCGACAAGGATGTGTACATGTTGCATGCTGTTGCTGCGATGTGTCTTGCATCACAAGGCATGGCGCCAGTCGCAGCATGCGCACAGGCCGCGGTCCAAAACAAACGAGGACAGCAAGTGATTGCCTGAGACTAAGGCCCAGGCGACCCAGGCTCTGGGGCAAACGCCTCAGCCGCTCACGCCTGAGCCTCAGCCTCGAAGCGCTGAGTCGCTCAGATTTGCAAACGTCACGGCTCAAAGCTCCAAAGCTCTGCTCTTCACCAGCACGGTCAAGAAGACTTGTGCTGAGCCTGCCCCTGCCTCAAGCGTCATAAGTTTTATACATCCCTATCTCGAGTGGTTGTACCGTACCGCTGTGCAACCAAGTGGGCGACCAAGGATCACATGGCCTCTCACTGCATATTGCTGCGGCATGGAACTCCTGTTCCAGAGGAGGAGGATCCGGAGAGACCACTTTCGGACCAAGGGCACAAAGATGCCGACGCTTGGATACACGGTTAGCTTCGTTGTTCTCTGTTTCGTAAGTTTCTCCGTGGTTATCCTCACGTTTAACAGCCTCGGCAAGCAAGGAAAGCACAGCGGGCGCTGTTGCTGCGTATTTGCAGTCCGTGACAGCGGACAGAGAGGTGCCTTCGGCTGCAGGATTCATGATTGTTAAAAACGAAGATGACGATTCAAACTAGAACAACCGTGACAGTGAGAACACGAAAGACGGGGAGTATATGCGGAGAGCGACAGTACAGGTGATGACAGGTGTAGCATTGATGTCGATGTTGTTGATGCCAGTAGTGCTTCTGCTGTGCAGGTTTTCTACGCAGGGCCGCAGTTTCGCAGGGAGAAACTTCAATGTGTGTTTGCCGAAAAGGCGTCATCGGCCAACAGGCCCGGACCGCGCAAGAAAGCGAAAAGTTGACTGGAGTCAAGTCTTTATTTGCAGCCGACTGCGGTTCCAGTCGAAACTACAGCGACCTGTCTGTGTAGACAAGACCAAGCCCAGCCAAAGCAAACAGGGCTGAAGGCCAAGCATGGCCAAGCTGCACCCAAGCGAACAAAAAGGAGGCTGTGCCAGGCCAAGCAACTTGGAGAAGAGGCGACAAGAGTTCGGTCAACTCAACTTGTCCGCTGTGCTTGCGACTCCTTGAGTTCCCTGCCTGTCATACTTACTGGACTGACGAGGTCCTTGTCGCACACAGTGGCAAGCTGCGTGCGCGACAGACGGCGGAAGCCGTCATGAAGGCCTTGCTGGCGGCCGGTTTTGAGGCGTGTCCAAGTCTGGCTGTGTGGGTTGCAGTCATTGCTCTAGTCAGTGCCCGGAATGCCTGGCTTGAAGGCATCATGTGAAGAACGGGTTGGGCTGAGTCCGAATGACGAGCCCGCGGCATCTTTGGAGCTCCTCGAGAGCGGTCCGTCAAAGGTGCTCCTGCCTTGGTACTGTGCTTTGTAGAGGCTCTGAGGCGCGCTCAAGCTAGGAATCAGGGCTCGAGCGAAGTGCGGCGTTTCGTCGTTATTGGACAGGTGCTGGTGGGCCATCTCCCTCACATGGGAAAGCTTGCTGCGGCGATGATCAAGTCGCCTGCAGCTGCTGGGAGACTTGGTGGGCTCTTCCATCCTGCGCCTTGGCTTGGGATTCACATCCTGCCTCCGGCCTGTCAGTACTATCAGCTACTATCGCACTGTGGAGGCAGGCGGTTTAGCGCTTCGCCGCGAGAATGCCGACTGGGTCGAGGCTGGGATGTAATTGAAATTCTCCCTGGGTTTCTGCAGTTTTTCTTGCACAGACCAGGCTGCCGAAGTGGTTTGCGGCGAGCCATGGTGGAAAAAAGCGGATGCCTGACTGAGGCAAGTGCAGGCTCAGTGTGGACCCTGTGGTCTAGAATCAGAAGGACGTGGGAGAGATGTGGCTCGTCACCCTGCAGGCAGAAGCTGCCGAGCGGCTACGGGTGTTTCACTGTCGGTTCAAAGAAGCCCAGCATGCGCCATGAGCGCTGTGTGCGCCGTGCAACAGCTTCAGCACTTGGAATGCGTTGTACCGTGCTTGCTGGACCGAGGCCTAAAGTTGCAACAATCCTGACCGTCGCCGTGCCCGCGGAGGACCCGTCTTGGAAGAATTTGTTGACTTTTCCCGCCAGTCCAGAGGTCCACAGTTCTTGTCCCTGTGGCAGGAGCGGCGATCTTCGAGCGTCACTACGCACCGGCAAGTTCTCATGCTGCCCAAGTGCGCCGAGAGCAACCGTTTACCACGACTATTTCTCTAAGCTTTTTAAGCACTTAGCAGGCGGCTGAATGAGGCGTCCAGCCGCGAGCTCATTCCTGCTGATGCTGTCATGTCGCGAGAGCTGCGGGGCCGGTTTGAGGACCGACCTCGCAACGCGCAACCTTTCCGAGTCGACCGAGCGCCTATGTAGTGGACTTAGTAGAGATGAGCATGCGTCACAAGAGCTGTCAAGGAGTTGTTCTGCTCCTGAGGCGCAGGTCATTGCTCAGTCACCACCCAGGCCACTGTCATAGATGGACACCGGTGTAAGATGATGTAAGAGCATACCTGAAAGCCTTGGGGACCTTGTCAAATTAAGCACGGTCTCGGGATGGGAGACTTGAAGCAATAGCACTGGCAGCCCCAGAGACGGGGAATAACTTCGGGTTTCTAGATGTCACCGGTGCATAAACCACAGTAGACCCGCTGCAATGTCCTGGGACTTGGGAGGGACGCTCCCGATCCGGCCTGGGCAGGAGCTCGCCAGAATATGCTGCTGTCATGGCTCCGCGAGGAGCGCGCGATGACGAACACGCACAGTGTCCTTGCACCGACAATTGGTGTGTCTTGCACTACGTGAGTCTACATTGCTGACGGTTCGTAATGCCAGGCGAAGGCACAGGATGGCTAACTGGCTAACACGTAGGGCCTAAAGAGGATCACACTGGACCCTCTCCGCTCCTCGGAGCCCGCCTGCCCGCCAGGACACAGCCTTCCTGCACCAGCGGGACCACCGCTCTGCTCTCACAGCCCCAGACATGGCAGAACGATGCAGTCACGTGCCTTTCCGAGGCAATCTCACAGGTACCGTCTGCAAGCAGGCCTGCCCACTCAGTGCAAGCAATGCGAGAGGCGTCCCAGAGTTTTTGTGCTAGGTGGACGCTTTGTTTAGGCGATCCGCGCCTTGGGCCCGGACTTTGCAGTGCCTCGCAGTGTGGACCCTGAAGTTCCATTGGTCCTCGGGCGATCGATTTTGTGCGCTGTCATTCCCAAATGACCTTCATGAAGCCTGCGGGTGCTGGCCGGCCGCATGGCTAAGACGAAAGTGTAGCTGTTGTCAGCAAACCCCACTCCACAAAGAAAGCGGTTGGATGCCAGGCCAGGCATGCAGCCCGGAGTTCTGAAGCAGCTAACAGCTAAACCGTACCTTCTAGCCTACGACCCAGCACCGTGAGAGGCCAGCATGAGCCGCAGTCTTCGAGGCAGCGGCATATTCAGGCAGCGAAAGAGCGGACGCAGAGATCTTGGGAATCTTGGTGGCATCTGCGGCAAGTGAAGGATACACTTCTGGGCTGTGCTCGGACGGCACTAACTCAGCCTGGCCATTCCTTCAAACAGGCTTGGTTCAAAAATTTGGATGGCGTTCGCTGTGTGCGACAGATCACACATGGCTTGATGAAGCGAATCCTGAATGCATCCAGACCTCCTTCATCTCACTTTCCGTCACGAGGCTCCGTGCCACTGCCTGCTTAGCTCAGGGGTGAACCGTTCGCTGGTCCTCGGCTTTTTACTCTGGGATATGGCTGTTTCGACTGGAATGACAACCTTCTACTTCATGCACGACAATATCGCAAATCTGGGGCTGGTGAGTGAGCACATTGTGCGCTTGATCGGCATTTTTCGGTTGCCACGCAGCTACAAATATGACCCAGACAAGTTTCGTGGAGCCCTGAACCGATTGCATTCTTGGGATCAGGAGGGCTCTGAGAAAGTTCACCATCGTGATTCCACAGGCTGGCAGTTGTCGCGGGGCTTGCTGTGGTCCTGCGGCGAAAGCACCGCCTGGTTCGACTGTTTTTCACCTCGTTCATCCTCAACTGGAGACTCTGGCAGACAAGCAGTCAAGGCAAAGGATTTGTGTTGGCCAAGTAGATTGACGCTAGAGTTCCTTTGGAATGGCTCAGCAGTTTGAAGGGACAGCAGGTCTGCGCGAAGAGCTAAGGATCGTTCTGGGTGTGCCGCCTGACCCAGTCGTAGCAACCTGATGCATCCGTGCTGGCTGAGCTGCCGCTGCTACGGGATGCCAAGGATATTCTTAGTTCCAGTGGTTCGACTACAGTGCTCCTGCGTTGATGGCACCTGGGAGCAGTGCAATGCCATGCAAGACTTCTGGGAAACAGGCGTGGGCTGCAGAGCAGTATTGCTGTCCAGTTTGAGATTACAGACGGGCGAACTTCGTTGTCGTATTGAAAAAGATGATAAAGATATGCTATGTCGTTCGAAAATAGAAATACGACTGGACGCAGTTTCTTAGCCCCTGGGTTGTCGTTCCAATCAGACCTCGTGATACCTCGTGCAAGACTGTAATTTGAAGAAGTTCTGCGAACCAACTCGTGCAAGAGTTATCTTCTGTTTTTTAGCGGGCAGGCAGACGACTCAGACGACTCACCAACTGATGGTAAGAAATTGACTGGCATTCGGCCAACTCGAATCTGAAGGCCAACAGCCGCCAAGCATCCTCCTCAAACCACGCGGGTCGTCGCAAAGCGTGTCGTTGTATTCTTGCAAGGCCTCCACATTAATTTCAAACCTGCGCCGGAGAAGTGGCAGCTCAGCCGCATTGACAGAAGTGTCTCAAGTTTTCAAGTGTCAGGGAGTCGAAGTAAGGCCGTTACCTTGTGCATCACATGATATCACATGTTGCTCCATCTCGTTGTCTGACACGGCGCGGGAGCTGGCTGACAGCTGCTTTTGCAGGCGTTGCATGTAACTGTCTCCAGCGCTTTGCTTGACGAGTGGATTCGAGGCAAGTAAAGCAAGACGGCCATCTCAACAAGTACATGAAAGCCGCGAAGCCGAATTCGAACGTGTTTCTTTGCCGTTGCGCGTGATGTTGCTCACAACCTTGCGAAGAGGTGGAGCCCATGCCGAAGACGGATCAGGAGAAGACAGACGCATTCACAAAGCTTCTGTTTGCCACACCTGAGGAGCGGGAATCAGAAGTTCTGCATTTCTCAACAAGTTAGGGGCTGACAGTGGCTGACAGCACGAGCGACGGATGTAATGCACCCAATTTAAGGGACTCTAAGTTTGCAGCATCACGGATGACCCGGCGGCTTTCTCTCATCTCCCTCCTGTCCTTATGAAGAGAGCATCGTTCAGAGCTGTAACCCGAGGACGGCCGCAGCTTTCTCGAACGCAGAGAACGGAATGAGGCTGGTGGAGGGTTGAGCCCTGGAAAGAGGGACCTGGGAGGGAGCGCTCCCAAGAGGCCGTTGCGATCAGGTCTCCCGCCTGCCGAAGCGACTGCAGGGCTACAATGGCTACAAGTCGGCTAGGGACCATTTAGGCGCGGTCACGGCGAAGCTTGGGAGCTCAGGGCGAACTAGCTTGTGTGACAGGCCAGTCCACGTCCTTCTGGGCTATCCGACAGCACCCAATGGCCTTGCTTCAAAGTCACACAAGCGACGGTAGCGATCTGCATGAACGCACCTGGAACAACTTCAGGATATTGGACCCCTGGCAGCCATGTACTCGTAGGATGTTCGAAAGCAACGGGCGTGAAGGTTCGAGCCGACTGTCGCGGCTTTGCGGTTCTTGCCGGCCCATATCTGAGGATGAGGATCCCGATGCGCAGAATGCAAGCTCCTCCCAGAATTCGAGTGCTGTTCGATGCGATCAGCAGATTTTCAAAGGAAAGCAAGGCCCGCCGGGCGGGGCTGGGAAAGCAGGGAAGTGTGAAGCGGGCTCAGGGTTCCAAGACCTCGTAGGAGCACAGGACGAGCCAATCTGCTACTTGTAGCCGCTCTAGCGCCGCTCCGCCGCAGGCAGCTCCTTGATGGAAGAGGCGATGCTCCAGAAGAGCTCTTCTTCGATTAGGAACTCCACGCAATTGGCCAACATGCTGCTGCGGAAGAGCCTTACAAATCAGCTTATCGACAAGGTCCACGTTACAATGCGGCAGGTGGTGCAAAATCTTCTCAATCAGCCAGAGTTCGAAGCCATCATCTGCGAATATGCCAAACACCATGATTTCAATCAAATTGATTCGGCCCCTTAGCTGCTGCTGATTCTACTGGTTGGGAGTCAACAGTAGCGTGCCGGCGGGCTGCATGTCGACAAATGTGTCGGTTGGTGTGATAGTCATCATTCTCACATTCCCCTTACCACGGCGTCAAACGCCACAAGGCCGTTTTCCCACGTCCGAAGGTGCTTTGCCAGGTAGCCAGGTCCAAAGGTCCAAATGACTCGATACAATAACGCCCAGTGTTTGCGAGTTGTTGGGCCATTGCATGGCATTCCACACACACATGCATGTTTCTTAGGACAAGATCGGCAAACGCCACAAGATGAGGACCAACCACTACGGTTTTTCTTCTCAAGAGGCTGTGGCGCTTCATCCCACGTCCCTCCCGTTGTGAGTTTGGTCAGCTGCGCCAGGAAACTTACGGGTGCCATGCTGAAGCAAGGAGCTCTGGCAACGGATGAAACATTGGAGGAAGGCCCTGCCGAAGCAGCTGTGGCCGTTCAAATCGACATGAGTCCTTGCGTGCCTATGCAGAGTTGGGTCGCGGTTGATCCTAGAAACGCCGTCCATGTCGGCAGGGCATGTGCCGGCGACTGCAAGGACGGTGGAGGTAGCCTTACGAAGAATGGTTTTCGCCATTCGCTTGTCTCGAAGGTTGCAAAGGGTTCTGGAATGACCTTAGCTTAGAGGGTGATGTGAAGGAAGCTGTCGGTTCCTAATCCACTGGTTTTGTGTTGTGCACTCATAGCTACAGTAGTCTCCAAGCGAGAATTGATGCAGACTTGTGACGGTGTGGCTTGAACTGCAGGACTGTCCAGCAGGGTACCTATCGCTTGCTCCAGTCAGAACTCGAGGGCATGCCGGCTAGGGAAGGCCAAAGCAGCACGGTGCCATGCGTGGAACGGGTGCAAATTTTGGCTTACATTGATGCTTGATGAAGGTATGCAAAGGCTCAGCGAAATGTACAAGGACGCTGTTTTCCGAAAGGCAACTGGCCGGACCTGTTTTCAATGTTGCAGGAGATATGCCGTTGTGCTGACTTAGACAGCTGCCGGCTAAGCGAACCAGACACTTAGCCGCAGTCCTGGAAGGGCAGTGTATTGTCACGTTCTGCTCCCCTCCCTCGAGATTCCTCGAGTATCCGGGAGTGTTGGCACCTTCGACGCTCAGGATGCTTTCTGGTGTTATGTGGATGAAAGCACGCTTCAAGGGTGCAAGGCAGAGGGCATTAAGCTTCGGAAGGATCCGAGCAACAGGAGACTGCAGCCGCACATTCTGCAGCTTTCAGTTTCGAGGCTTCAGAGACTGAGGTAGCCTTTGACAATGCAGTTCGCCGCAGGACTTGGAGTAAAGACCTCTGCGACAAGCGATCGTGTGAGCCTGCGGGCCTTGGCATGAAGCCACGGAGCAAGAAGGACACGAATGACTTCGCCCGGCAAGCTGTGATGGCAATAGAGACGTGTGCGCTTGTGGCAGGACCTTGATGTGAAAAGACATCAATACCTGGATGACGATCACACGATCATGAGGTACGGGTCAGACTGTGATATCTGGAAGCACACAGACCCAATGGAATGGGCAGCTCCGGCAGCGCAATCAGACACCTGAAGTTGAGAGTGCCACACAAAGAGAGACTCGGGTCCGTACGCAAGGCATATGTCGGGTTTGACACCACCTGCATCGAGCGAACGCTGCTTGACGAAGCATGTGTCATTGTTTGTCACTTGCGACTGTCTTCTGGGGACATTTAATTTTAGCGCTACGCCGCCCGCCTCGGCTCTGTAGTGGCAGGGCGAGGGTCCCGGCTTCTTGTATACCTTCTGGTCACCCTAAACCCTAAACCCTAAACCCTAAACCCTAAACCCAAACCCTAAACCCTAAACCCTAAACCAGACAGGCAGTGGATTGACGCAAAAGCCAAAGCGGGGGCGAGGAAGACGAAACGAGGGCGGGAGAAGAAGTGGGAGCAGGAAAGAGGGAAGAAAAAGGGGGGGAGGGGGGGGGGGAGAGGGGGGAAGGGGGGGGGGGGGGGGGGGGGGGGGGGAGGGGGCAGGGGGGGGAGGACGGCGGGGTGGAGGAAAAAAAGAGGGGGGAGGAGGCCTGGGAGGGGGCGGGTAGGCCCGCAAATCAAAGAAAATGAGGGGAGGCCGGGCAAGGGGGTGGCAAACGAGCGCAAAAACAGGGTGTCACCAAACATTTGGGCTGCAGGGAGGAGGATTAGGTGGAGGGTACCTGAGGTAACCACCAAAACGCCTGGGCCTGTGGCCTCGGCGGATTTCGGGTTAACATACAATCGTGATGATACAAACGTGTATAAGACATACGGGACGGGCGCACATTTAACGCGGGAGTCTACTTCTGCTTTTTCGACTCAGGGGGAAGTCTGGGGCCCGTTACCGGCGGGCTTTTTGAGTAGGGCGCCCAGGTGGCGCCCTCGAACTCGTAAGAGGCTATGAACTTTGAAGCGCGACTCTGCACAGCAGCAAACGGATGCAAACGGTGCCCGTCCACTTCTGCCACTGCATGTGTGCGGTCCCCCTAACAGTGTATAAACACATGTATCAGTATGTGAAATTGAGTTCATGTAATACGTCGGTCGTGGTGATATGATACGTGCGTTGGCCCTTCTCCTTCCGGCCTAAAGAGTATGGCTGTTGAATGAAGTAAACTCATGTTTGTGCTTCTGTGAATTGCAAGGCGGAGGGTCGTCCCCAAGAACGACTGGCCGGAGGGCCTGCCAAGAGCTCAGCAGATTTTGCTCGAAGTTAAACCTGACAAAGCCGTAAGAAGCTCTCCGTCCACATCGAAGCAACGAGTCGTTGCTTGCGGACCGATGTTGCCAAAGCCATTCCGCGAACAACTGCCACCTGCCTGCTCGCAAAAGCTGCTGCACTAAGCCACTAAGCCCACCACAGACGGCATGGGGTGCAGTCCACATAGAACGGGCCAGCAAGGCCGTACATGTTCTTGTCCTGGTCGCTTGGCATGCAGATCCGGGAGGTTGCCAGCTAACCTCGCGGGCCATTCTCAGCAGCATGACATGTACCTGTTGCACGCGAGTGGAGCTGAGGACCGCATGCACATCCAACATGTTGTCTGACACGAAGCTGCCTGACGGGACGGTAGGAGGCTTGTACCACGTGAAGATTCGGTGCACTTGGTACCAGATGGTGCCCTGACCTATAATGACGACCTGGCTCGTTGCCGGCCATGTGCATGATTCTGGCCTGCTCGCTCGATGCATTTCTCCGTGAGGTCGTGGAAACTTTCCTGATTCTCGATTTGATCTTTACGGTTCCCATGATGGTTCTCGTGATGCATTCCAGAGAATCACTGGTGCTAAGAAAGCTTCACTGCTTCGATGTTTCCCTGCATGGACAGAGGTGATCATGTACTATTTCATTGCGAACCGCTGCGCTGACAACTTGGAAGTCGAGCAGCAGTTCGCTCCGGTAGATGACTCGTCCGATTCATCCGACTCTTTGCTGGAACTTTGTGCGCTGATGCCTTGCATTCCCACACCCACGCCTGTCATGGGATGCCGCTGCTGGATCAGCTGTCTTGAGCAAGACAACCGTCAGCGGCAATGTGTTGCTTTGCCCTACATTGCACAGGAAGAGTTTCAGCCAGAAGCTCCGGACCGCCGTGATCCTCAAAGACAACGTTCTTCGGAACGTCCGCCATCGCAGTCGGGATCAGAGACGCAGGCATGAGGGTGTTTTCGATGCAGCATGCCCACAGCCACCACACTTCTCTCATTCTGCATTGATCAATGCGATGTTGTTTGGCCTTGCCGCCGTTGCCAGGGCGGTCTGGAGGCAGCTTCCAGTGCATGACTTCCTTCTAGGCTAGTTGATCCAAGCACAAACACGAAGGACTTTCGAGGCAAACCTTCCCGGCTGGAAAATTCTGACACTTCGCATCTTGCGTGGAAAAGAGCGACAGCATTGGCTCCCAGAGCTTGTGTGATGTGCTCACAGTGAAACCTTCCGAGGTCTGCCACTTGCCAAAGTGATTTTAGCACGGCGGCTCACTTCGAGAGTCTCACTGAGTTTCCAGCCTTCTTCCTCGGTCCTGCATGGCGAGAGAAAGCATTGCACGCAGATGAAAGCGTAAGACAGAATGTGGCTGCGAGGCTGGCGATAGATTTAATGACCGGAGCTGCTGGTTAAAAGCACCGGCGCCCTTTGCAGACATGGAAGTCGCGACTCTGATGCTCGACGTTGGAGCCGAGACAAATGGAGTCGTTTGCCAGGAAGGAAAGAGAACCTGAGCGAGGAGCAAACTTGCTTAGCTTTAGCCTTGTCCGTGCAGGGAGCCACCTCCCAGATTTAGCCGAGCCACAACTCACGGCCCGGTTCAATTGCCGAATGGGAAACTCAGAAGCGACGGGTCGACATGGTCGACATGGTGCAGAGCCCTGGTGTGGAGGTACTTAGGGGCAACACCGGCAAACTTGTTCAGCACGCTGCCGCAGCCATTTCGAATCACAGATATAGTCAACGAGTTTATGCATTCAGTACCTGATCTGAGTGGGTTAGCATGAACAAACTTTGGTGATCGTGCTGAAGCTTTCAATTGAAGAATCAGCCTGTCAAAGACCTTTAAAAAGGCAGCCTGACCGGCCAACGCCTATGGCACTCTTGACTCAAGAAGAATGTGAGGCCGGACACGCTCTGACCTTGTAGGATCGGCTTGCGCTGTTTCGCGGATGGTTTTGTTGAGGTCGATGTTTGTGTTTTGGGCACCGGCCTTACCGAGAGCTTAGTGGCAGCAGCATTCGCGCGCCTTGGGCGCCGGCTGCTCCACTTGGACGCCTCGAGCGCCTACGGTGGCTGCTGGCGCTCACTGTCCCTAGCCGAGCGCCCTGTCAGCACCGGGTGCCTGTGCGAACCTCGCGTTTTTATAGCGTCAGATTGATTCATGTCGCTGTATGCTCTCGTAGCTTCCATGGCTGCTTCTGTGGCGTTCTTGAGCATCTTCGAGGTTCGTCCATTGGGCTGGAGGAAGCACGAACTTCGAGACCCCAGTCTCCCAGGCAATCCTGTCACATGCGCATACTGCTTGTCGCGAAGATGCATGATGCGCAGCGTCTTCAGGTTTCATCCTTGCGGTAGCTACACCGTAACTTCTTCTACAACTTCAACCAGACGTAACCAGATGCTAGGAGCCCTAAGTATTGTCAGTGGCACCGAGGAGGTCGTTCATCGCGCGCGTTGCCGAACCTGCACAGGTTTCTGGAGGTGACTTCCGTTCTCTTCCGCCGCAGGTGCGCTCGGCTAGGCGGAAGCGCGTTTGGAAGTGAGACTTCGCCAAGGCTTGGAAGACCATTCATCGGCGATGTACCACGGCGCCGCTTGGCGCCGAGATTTTTAGACCGAGGCACGAACTGCTTGCAGTGCTTGCAGTGCTTGCTGGCCTCTGAATGTCCAAGTCGTCCCCTGGAACTCTGGGGCAGGCATGACTTCGAGGAAGAGCTTGAAATTCCTCTTCAAGATGAAGCCCTTGCGAGCGGAGAGATTGCCCTCAGGCTAGCTCCTCATGCGCAGTACGGCTGCTTCGTGGATCGCAGTTTCGAAACCTGCCTTGTGATGTAAAACGCGGGTGTCCTTGTCGCACCCAACAGATATGCACAAAAGCAGCGACGGAGAAGAACATGACTGCCTAGTGATGTCGATTCGGACACAGCTGAGGAGTGGGATCCCTTTGACAAGCTCTCTGCCGTAGAGCTTTGCAAAGAGAAGCGGGCCTTGCTGAAGAGCCCAACGTCCTTCAGCAGCTCTGCCCAACTGAAGACGGTTAGAAAGTTTTTGTCACAAGACTTTCCTGACCTTCCTGCCTTTCACCAGTCATCTGCCTCTGCAGGCCTCGACATTGTGCCGCGCTTGCTTTTTGGGCGCAGTGACTACGTGGATGTTCTCGTCGAGTCTGGTGTAGCAAGGCAAGTGTCCTTACCTGTGTGGCAATGTGGCTATGTGGTTCATGCTAGTGAGATCCAATGTGCGTGGAAGGTACTTGGAGTTCCAGGGCTTGAAGTCTGCCAGAGTCCTGACACCCGAAGGTCTTTTTGCAGTGCCGTTAACCAAGAGCGAAATATTCCAGGATGCTCACTTGAGCAAGCCCGAAAAGAGAACACTGATGCGGTTCATCACTTCCATCCAGCCCTTCGTGGGTAGCCTCTCCTTTCAATCTGCAGCTCAGCTGGGCGTGGATCAGGTCCGCAAGGTAAAGGGCCCAACTGAACTGGACTCCGGCGGCTCCAGCGTCTCCAGCGTTCTGGGAGTTGACCTGCAAGAGCCATGGCATCACTTCCTCGAGAAGCAACAGCTCTCTCAGAGACTGCAGGAGTTCATCACCTATTCCATTTGCCTCTGGGACTGGTCACCGCCATCCTCATCATATCCGTGGCCTGAGCTCTCTTGCGGTGAAGCACTTCGACGGCTCGGCAGCTTCGTTTCTTCCCTCGGTATGTATGGCCGTGGCACCAGTATGCCATTGCTGTATCCCATGTATGGGGTGGCGGAGATTGCGCAAGGCTTCACCAGAATGAGCGCACTTCATCGGGGAACATATGCTTTGCGCACGCGGCCTACGCACCTCGTGGCCAAGAAAGATGAACAACACGGCTGGCAAATGACAGGAGTGGTCACCCATCGCGGGGAAGTAATACGTGCTTCTACAGTAATCGGTTCCTGTGACCACATCGCAGAAGACGGCATCCTGGAGCAAGGGTCGGACTCGACAGCTTGCAGACGTGCCACCGTATTGCTGAATCGTCCACTCCTGGGAGAAGACGGCGTAAACCTGTGCGTAGTGCCTCCGAGCTCGTTTGCACCGCCCCTGAAGAACGTTGTCCAGGTATTGCAGCTTGACTGGAGCACAGGCACTTGCCCTCGAGGCTGTTACGTGCACCACCTCTCGCAAGCATGGATTGGGGAAGATCCGGACGGTGCGTTTGCCGACATCGACAAAGTCTTGGAGACTCTCTTGTCGCGATGTGAGGAAGCCACGTGCCTGTTCCGATGCAAGTATATCCACAAACCAAGGCCCATCCATCGCTGGAGCACGGAGGATTCACCGATGACGGACTGTAGTGCTGGCGGCAGCCTCGCGGTGGTGGCAGATCCCTCTGCGGTGCCGCAGCTGGTTGTATCAGATGAAATAGACGAAGCACGCCAGATTTTCCTTGCATCGCCAGCTGCTGCTGGCGCGCATGCTGACGATTTCTTGCGCAAGCCCGAGCATGTTGCAGAGGAACATGCGCATGTCTCTTGTTAAGCATGAAGCGAATCCCAAAAGGGCTTTGGGTTTGAGAGCCTTGCGACGTTTTGCTTCTTTTGCTCTGAGCTTCCCGGAGGAGGAGCGCGGTGGGGTCATGGAAGAGTTGGAGCTTTTCAACGAGCAAATGCAAGAAACCAAGCAAGCTGAGACCGGGAAGCTTCATGCCGACGATCTTCAGCGACTTGTTTGAGTTCGTGATTTTTGCTGCAAATTCTTCTTGGCTCCTTTAGGGCCTCTGGTTCCGGTGCTGTCGTTTACATGGCTAGTACGGTGACCGTTGCGAAGCACTGCTCTGCAGACAAGCGCACGTAATCACGATTCATTAACTTCCGATTCGAATGGATTCAGTTTCATAGCGGAGAGGTTCTGATCAATGTAATTCTGCTGCAGCTGGCGATGGCACTTGCTGCAGATCATCCTCATCATGTAGGTAGCGTAATCTAAGTGCATGGCATTCTCAGCAGAAGATTGGTCTGCGACAGTGACAGCCAAGAGCGAAGCTGCAGCCGCAGGCCATGATCTGAAAAACCACATCCTCTGATCTCAACGTCACGGCGGTCTGGAGAAGAACATCGGCAGGTGGAGGCGCAATGATTCCCAGACGCAGAACATCACCGGACCTACAAATTGGTTCATGGACAGCTCCAGGACAGAAGAGGCCGATGTTGGCTCAGCGCCTGGCTCTTGTGACAAAAGCGTGTTGAATCGTTAAACAGAGGCAGCACCATGTTTGGGTGGTTTTGGAGATCTATCTGTTCTTTACATTGTAGTCGCGCCTCTTGGCTGCATGGGCCAGGCGTAGAATTGTGTTCGTTGATGGAAAATCGCAGCCAATGCAGACCAGTGAAGTGCTTCGGTGAGCTTTCGGAATCATGCGCCCCCAGGATTCCTGGGTGTCGTTTCCAACACGTGCGAAGATGCCACTGTGCATTCTGCACCAACATGCCAACATGCCTAAGGATACGAAGCCTGGTTGTGTGATCGCGGGCTTCTCTAAGGAATAAATGCACACCCAGTAGACGTGTTGCATTACTTGACTTGGATAATACGATGACCACACACCACACGCGTCATTCGTGTTCGATTTCTCGAGAATGTTATTGCCAGCTCGTTCAATCGGCATGGAGCCCGGGACCGCGCCTGCGCCACTCGCTGTGGCGGCCCCCCGGCTGCTGCCCTGCTGGAATCCCAGACCAGGCCATGGGCCAACGGATTCTCAAAGTTCCAAGATGCAAATGCTGAGAGGCCGGAAGGAAGCAAGATAGACCGCATAGGTGTCGGGGTGTTAGAGGGGCTTCAACTGAGTAACAGCCAGCGGACGTGGCGCGCTCCCAGGTCCCAGCTCTTATCCAGTGACAGACGAACACATGGGTCGAATGAGAAGTGGACAGAGAGGAAAGCCATAGAGATCAGATGCGCACTGTTGGCACTGACGCTGCCCAACCACTTCTGCCCCTAAACCCGAGGTCCGCACTTGCGCGCGAGGACGGTTAACCCTCCTGAAAACCAGCAGGGAAACAGAGAGGCACTCTTTTTCAGGGGGTATGCTCTCTTCACCTCCAGAAACAAAGGTGCTCCTTGGCGTTCAGAACAACTGAATTCAACAACCCTAAGACAATAGCCTAGTTGCGGGAGACAGACCGCTCCGTGTCGGGCAGTCAAGAATATGTTGATTGCGCTCAAGCGCGAAGCGAGCAAGGAGAGAGAGAGAGAGAGACATGAGCCAAGCTTCAAACAAATCCTCGCCAGTTCGCGGCCTCAACGTCCGACAGCTCCCAGCTGCAAGGGCGAGTCGGCGGGGAACAAGCTGGGGGCAGGGTGCAAGGACGGGGCTCCTGAGCTTAGTACAGGTCAGGGCGGTGGCTGCTCGGCTTCTCGCAGGACCTGGTTGCTTGCCGGCACTGCGCTGGCACTGCGCCTGCTAGTCAGATTATGTCTTGCCCCAGAAGACATCGCGATAGAGCTTCACAGTACCTTGGTCTTCACATTACTCCCGGTACAGGCATATAGCAAATTGGTGGCAGCACCTCTGTTCGTGTATGGTTCATGTGTTGCTGCCAAGCTCTCTCCATGCTCAGGCAAATCAATCTCCGACATACTGCTGGGCCGTTTCGCCACACTGCGAGTGAACCTGAAACGTGCTGGCAGATGGCTGCACGTCCAACAGGCCGAGGTAGAGTGGAAGCTGGTCGCTTAGCTGCACTGACCTTTGTCGATCCAACCAGTACCGGAGCATGCCAGGACCGAGCGGCACCAATTGCACGAGGGTTTTCTTCAGGTGAACCTGGGCTTGAACCCCATATTTTGGCTGCTGATGCCATTGACACTGGCTCTTCGACCAAAGCTGGCGCTAATTGCTCTCACTTTGGTGTACATACTTCCCCGTGGAGCACAGCGGGACAGATCTACGACCCGCTTCACTGCCAGCATGTCTGCAGAAGATCTGTGGAGTTGTTTCTTGGCTGCTCATGGCTCCTCGAGTGCCGAGCTGCTTGCATTTTCTCACAAAGGGCCAGACTGAAGCGTTTCCTCACAGGTCGTTTGTGGAGAGCTGTGGTCACGGCCGGGCTGCGTGACATCATGAACTACAGCGTTGCAGGCCCTCCCAGAGTTTGTTTTTTTGCTTCTGCCCGCAGTGTCACAGTGTGTACTCCGAGGAATGGTGGCGCTGCCTCGAGAAGTTTCGGGAGAGCTGTCGGCAGCCACGTCTTTTGAGGTGAAAAGCCTCGAGGCCATCTTCATGTATTCACGGTACGCCCGAGTGCTTCTGTTCTGTGTTTACCCGAACGCAGGTCGCAAATTCCTGCCTCATCATGGATGCAGTCGCTAACCTTCCCGGTGAGACAGTGTTCCAGTATCGCTTGAAGATGCTTGCCACAAGACTTACTCAGTTGCCGGTTTTTGTCGCAGAACATCGGTAGCACGTAGCCCTCTACCCGACCGCTGCACAACATCAACGATGTCCTCGAGCGGCGACGACCAGCAGCCGTCCTCCTGAACCAAACTCGAGCCAAGGGCTGGAGCCCCGTCAAGGCTTGAACTCAAAAGCTTTCGGTCTGTCGCCGAGGACGGGTGTATCCCTCGGAGAGGTCGACGGGTGTCAGTGCATCCTCTGGGACGACCCATGCATCGAGGCCATGCGGTGCCGTGCACGCAGTTCACCCCACCCCGCCCTCCCCTGTCACTGGCGGCGAAGGCCGACTCTGCACAGACTCTTGGTGATACTGCCGACAGAAAAGCAAAATGTCGAGAAACAAGATCTTGTAGCTAGTTTGAGTAGGTTGACCGCGAAGAGTCGACATGCATCGGTACTGAACGTACTTATCCCATACACGATTATTATCACTAGCATGCTTCTGATGTTACTGTGTATTCGTTACAGTTCTTCTCATAATACTAGTAGTTATAACTAGTTATAACTATTTCACTCATGGCGTGGGTCACTTGGTTTGGGGGGTGTCTGTTCAGAGGTGGATTGGGCTTGCAACTGTTCCAAACTATTTCCCCAGCTATTTGTCACAAGTCACTCGCGCGTGTTTGTTTATTCACGGTTTTCTACCGGAAGTTGATTCAGCTTGAAACTATGTCCGAAAGTATTCCAAGATTCCCGAGCTTTGCTACATGTGGTTGCATCCAACTCCCACCCTTTGCACCCCACCACCACCACCACCACCACCACCACCACCACCACCACCACCACCACCACCACCACCACCACCACCACCACCACCACCACCACCACCACCACCACCACCACCACCACCACCACCACCACCACCACCATGATGTTGGAGCGGATGGCTTTTGACATATGCCAAGAGGATAATTGCTCTCTGGATCAACTGGCCGAGTTATGCTCTGCGCTACCGTGTCAAGTTTCTGCCAAGCGCCGTCGCATGAGCACTTCGGATGGAGCTACGGGGCGCAGTCAGCGCACCTTCTCTGTGGGTGCCTACTCAGCTGGTGGCACACAAGGCATACAGAATAACACGCGTGACTATCCTTGGATGACCCGCTTGATGACCGCTTTAATCAATGGTGCCAATCCCCGTCATCACTACAGCAGCTGTACGCTCCTAATGAATGTCATGCACAACAAGCATCGCGATCAAGCCAATGCCGCTGGAACTGTCAACCTCTTGTTACCCTGCAGCCGGTGGCGGGGCGGACAGGTTTGGATTGCTGATGCTCAGGGCTCCGTTCACCTGGATGAGCGTTCCGGTCCGGGAAGCTTCCGTGCGGTACAACTTCCATTCCTGACCCTGGACCCACATACTGCGAACGCTACCTTCCCCTGGTCTTGCGGTGACAGAATCTTGATCATTGCGCACCACGCCAAGGGCCTTCAAATGCTGACGCAGGCGGACCGAACATATCTTGAATGGGCTGGCTTTCACTGCCTCATACCGGGGTGACTTCATGCGGAGCAGTGCGGATGGGGGGTATGCGGTGACAGTATGTCCACACGCGAGTGTGGGACACAAGTCACTTACTTTCCTCCTCTGCACTGCCCTGCACACTATGATGGTGCTTCCTCTTTTTCTGCACTGCACCGTGGCACTTACCTGCGCTTTCCTTTGTACATTCTCGGCTATCATGCTTATAGGCTCTACGGGGCGGTGATAGCTTGTCTGGTTCCCGTGCATACCACTGCGTATGTGCTGTCATATGACAGCCGGGGCGGCTACCACAGTCGTCCTGACAAAATCTGTACGCAAGGCTTGGACTCCCTAGCTGCGAGTGAAACGAAACGAAACCACCACCACCACCACCACCACCAGCCCCTTGAACAATATCTTAAAAGACAGCTGACAGCCCCACCCCTCGCAGCAACACCTTACTCACAGCACCGACTCCCTCTCTTCCCGTAGTGAAAGAAGCACTTCATGATTGAGCCATCTCTTCGTTTGTCACCTTGGAGCATGTTGGGTTGGGCTAGTGATGGAAGGTGGCCGAGGATTGGTTGCAAAAAGCGTTTGCAACCAAACTGCCGAGTCTGCGTGTTGGACTTGCGGACTTGCTCATCGCTGTCGTGGCTGCTATTCCTGTACAATCATAGACCGGTTTTTGAAAAAACAATTTGGGATAGGCGTTCTCTGACCCTCTAGGCCCTTTCGGGACCTTCATGCCCTGAAGTGCCAGTGCGCTTTGTCATCTGGTTCCGGGCTGCTGCCACAACAGGGTTTAGGGCTTAGGGTCGAGGGTTGAAGCCGGGTTTCAGGCGCTTGTCAGTTGAGGGTTGCACCGCCGCCACTGCCGCCCGTACCCCGAGCCCAGCCCAGCTCCTGCCCCGACCCACGTCGAGCATCTTGGCATGCCTGCACACAATGCGCTGGTGCAGAACCCCAGGTAAACAGTTGTGAAAAGTTGCGAAAGAGTTTCGAGCAAACGTTGCCGCTCAACAGGAAAAAGAGCTGCCACAAGTATAATGTTGATGATGGTGATATTGATGATGGTCGTCATTATATTATTGCATTATCATTTTCAGTTTACACTGCATCATCTTTGTCATCCATGGCGACTGCGACCACCAGGACCACCAGGAGACCCCAGAGAGTACTGCTTGGTTCTTGCGCACGGTCACAAGAGTTCGCACAAGTACTCGCGCGATTCACGCCCACGACCAAGATGCTTCCCCAGGTAGTGGCGGGATGCAGGCAGTTTCGCGGGCCAGGCACTTTCCCCTCAATCCATAAAATCCCGTAATTAAATCTGGTGCGAGCACTGACGAAATGAATGCCTTCTCCCAAGTATATTGCTGCGATTCCAGATCTTCGCGGCCAAAAATTGGCCCATGCATTGCAATTTGCAATGAATCTGGTTCGCGGCCGCACGGATCCTATGTAGATAAGAGGACACGAGCGCAAACTGTGCACGTGCCACAGCAGGAGCCACGTCCTGGTAAACGTTGTCCGCGGCGCTGCTCCGACATGCTAACCACATCTCTGATCTTCATCTTGGAACGCCATTGTGTGTGTGTGTGTCGCACTCACGAACCCTATTCGTCCTTCCCCCAGCTTTACACCGTCCACCCACGCCAGCCTAGAAAACAAAACGGAACAAAGAACCACGACCGACAGAAACAAATGCTCAACGCCAACTGTTTGGTCTCCACGAATGTTCTCAGCACGTGCACTCGACCTTCACTTACGGCATGCCCAGAGCAACTCGCCGCATTCAGACCTGCACCATGCCGGCTGCGCACACACCCTTGTCGGCGTCTCCTTACACGAGCGCAAAATGCGCAACATCGCGCAGCGACAGAGCAGACACACAGACACACACCTCCGCACCTCCACACCTCCATGCACACGCATGCTCGGTCGCACACAAACACAAAGCCAGAAGCGAGAGAGACGAGCACTTGTAGATGATGCAGGTTGCCAGGTTGTTCGAACATCTTGCCTCCTGCTCTGCAAACTGTGAAGGTGACGCCCGGCTGGCCGCTGCCGCAGTTCTGGGCACCAATAGGAAGCTTCGCCGGCCTCGGCTTGACAGACAAGCTTAGATTCTCACGCCTCGAATTTCTGTCAGTCGGGTCCTTAGCTCTCGCTTGGTGAGGCCACGTATACTAGGTTTCGCCGTTTGAGAGCCTCATACTTCGAGGATGGACGTCTGGTGCTGGAAGGGCGAGTTGCCGGAGAAGGCCTTTTCAAGTTTCAACTCTCGTGGACCCTGCCAAGAGCATGTGATTTCAGTTGGCATGTGTGCACAAGCCTCTGCGCGAAAGGAGACCGCCAGGCCATCGTCCCTGTTTAGTACCACAGGGATGTGCCCGCCTCACGGTGCCTCGTGATTTGCAATGCATCGAAAAGTGCATCTTCCAGTCGCGAACGTTGCACGCGTCCTGAATCTGGTCTGTGCTGGAGCGCTTGGGACTGGCTTCTGAGTTGTTCTTTGAATAGCATAGGTTAGCTGCGCTTTGAGTCACGTCCGTACATGGTGCTGTGACATGCTCAAGTTGGAAATAAATTCGTTCCATTGTGCTGCCCAGAGTCAGGGCAGTGATGTTCGAAGCTGAGCATGGGGCTCTTCAGACTGTTTGATTCCATAATCCCTGGAGCTGTGAACTACAAGGCATGAACTCGGCAGCGCATGGAGCGGCCGGAGGTGACGCGCATTGCCATTCGAGCTAGCGTAAACGGGCGGCTTTCGACCGCGGTCCTTCGGACTGCGGACCCGTGAGAGCCACCGGATGCATCAGGTCGAAGCAGTGTCTTCCAGCACGATATCCTTCGTTAGCCAGGCCTTAGAAAGCTGTGCAACTAAGTGCCGGTCGGTGGAATCCGGAATGCAAGCACAGCAGATGAGGCCCAGTCTGACCACCTCGGCAGGCGAAGTTGGCATTCGAGTACTCGTTGAAGAATCTGCTTTGGAAGCAAGCAGTGCGAGACCTGGCGTAGACTAGTAGATGTAATAAAAACATAGATGCACTGATGCACATATACGCTAATTATCGATATACTCTCAACATTATGTGGACAAAATGAGGAGGTCGCTTTCTTGGCCATCTGACTTCCAGGCATTCTATGCTGAGAGGCTCGTTGCCGAGCGCCCATGTGACGAAACGCCTATGTCTGAGCGCTCGCAACCCGCTGTGGGGTATGTGCACTTGCGACTCCCTCGGCCAAGCTGGCTGCTGCGTTCTCCAAGGACATACCTGCTGGGATTGGCGTACTTCCACAATCAGGAGCTTCCTTTGCTTGAATCTTCGTTAATTCACTGAGACTTGCTTGTTGCATGGCCAAAGTCAGCTACAGCTGTATTTCAGTTTCGACAGGGTACAGACGTCGGGCATCACGTGGCATGAAGTTTGCTCGTGCTGATCTGCAGGAGAGGCCCAGCAAGAGCCCTGTACTCATTCAATATAGCAGTGGCCCTCTTGAGCATACGTGAGCCATTATCGTTCGAACGTAGGTCTTGGGTTGTTCGAATACCTGACAGGCCTGGCAACACTGCAAGATCAACTTGTATGGTGGCAGTATGGAAACAACTTGTCGGGGTCGTTCAATTGAAGATCTTTTCAGACTGTCCCAAACGGTCAGCTGACAGACGGCATCCTGCCTAGCCGAGAGCGCAGGCACCGCAGTCAGTCATTTCACAGCCATGACAGGAAGGCTGCAGGGTGGTAGTAATGCTTTCCTTTCTTGTATCGGGACTCTTTTGCCTTGTTTACCCGTTTCGGGGTTTGTCTGAGCAAGCAGCCTAAGTAAGCAAACACGCAAGCATGCAGGCATGAAAGCCTGTCTTCCAGTGGCATGCACGCACCACATGTCAGCACAGTATGTGCATGAAGTCCAGTCCATTTATCTGCCAAAAGAAACACTGGCCGAAAGAACCAACGAAGACCTCGGAACGAGAAAGGAAGCAGTGAAACACCTACGGGGCAGGTCGCATGATAGCGTGTAAAGTGCAGTAGTAAGCATGTGGCGCTGGGGAGCCTGCCTCTGCACCGTATGTCGTCATACGTGCATGCTTGGCTGTATGTCAAGCCCGTCTCCGAAGAACGGCCTGCAGGGGAATCTGCGAATGACTGAAGTGAGAAAGGATCGGCATCAGAGCCACAAGAGACAGATTTTGAAAGAATGAAGGAGTGAGGTGGTGGATTTCCTGGTGTGGATCATGGTGATTATGTTGGCAGTAGGAACTGGTGTCATTGGATGCCTAGGTTGCCGGAACCAAAGCCCACAACTGCTCGAACTCCTGCGGCTTAGCTCATGAGGCCAGCTTAGATCCCTGGACAGTCCGAGAAACAAACCCGTACGAATCTGGCGACCCTACATTCTATTCTGCGATGCAAGTTGATACTTGTAGCAGTTGATGCATGTCCGGGCCTGTCAGGAGCTAGCCAGGGCGCAGTGGCATTTGCAGGTGGTGGAAGTTTTCTGCGATGTGCGTCGCTGCACGTACCTGTCAGGGAAACAAGCTTCCCGAAGCGAGGCCTCTCGATGCTTTCCTTGCAGGTCGCACGATCTTACGGTCATGATGGCTTAGCTTCAGGTACCTGCTTGCAAAATGCTGCTCGCAATTGAAGCGCTAGAGTCCGAGTTGGGATGTCTTGAAGAGCCCATGGCCCAACACCTCTGCCCCTCCGAGGTTGGGACCTGGCCGAGGAGGCGCTGCTGCCTTCTGCAGGCGGGATTTTCGAGCCAGCCTTCTTCTCGCTTCACCTCCGAGAGCTCAGCTGCTTAGCTTCTTTCTTCGACGCGTGTTTGGGGGCCTAGGCGGAGGCAATCTGAACGAGGTGGTCAACGGCGCTGCAGGCCTCTTCCTTCTTGGTCAGGCGCACCGAGCCACATTTCGGAAATCCCCGTGGATCAAGCCTAAGCGCCATTGCAACAATGCCGAGTTGAAGCTGCCCTGGGTGTTGGCACGTGTCGCAAAGGGCATCTGATTGTGGAGGTCCAGGAGAGACAAGGTCGACGAGAACAAGCAGTCGAGTGCTACTTCAGATGTTTGCAAGAGTGCCCCTTCATGCCTGCTCGGCCTGTTGCACGCGAAAGACCGTGGCTCGAGGTGTTGGGCATTGGACATCCATGTCAATCCATGTTCCATACCTTGCTACATGCCAGGTGGGAGGCATACGAACGTTGGTCTTGGCTCGTGCGAGATGCTGAATCACAGAGTCCACGCGCAGCTGCGGTGTCATCAAGATATTGTGCGTTGAAGCAAGCTTGGGATTGGTGTCATGGCGAGCCTGCTTGCTGCATGCTTGACTTTCCAGATTGCTCTAAGGTTGGGATCGCCCTCACCATCGTTCGAAGCTCTGTGGTACCTGATGTGTTGTTCCAGTGCTCCTCCACCTCACCATCTTTCAGTTCCTCCGTTCCACGGCACTGGGACAGAACCATGGTTAAGGCGCTCGTCAACTGCTGGAGTGGCATCATCGACATTCAGGCCGGATGGATAACATGTAGACTCGCAACATGACCCTGCAGAGTCGTGTGCGTCGGGTGGCGAAGAGTTCTGTCCGTCAGTGACGAGAAGCTTGCGCAGACAGCTGCTGCAGTGGGCGCCAGGGAGGCACCCGCAACAGGGAGACACGTGGAGGGCTTTGCGTCGCAGTGCGTACAAACATGCTGTGCCAGGCCGGCGTGAGTGTGTCCCCGGCCCCGTTGCGAACTGCAGGCATGCGCTCATGAATGTGATGAGGGCCGGTTGAAGATTCGCGAAACATTGTGTTTGTTTGTTTGTTTGTGTGTGTGTGTGTGTGTTTGTTTTCGGTGTGTGGCGAAAGGGACTTGCAGCAGTGATGCCACAATCACCTTCCAAAACCTATCACGTCCTGTGGTATAATCCGTCGTGTGCAAGGACATGGCATTGAGCGCACGTGGCATCCTCAGTGGTACGAAGGTCTTTTTCGGGCTTTAGCTGTCCAGTCGACTTGAGCGGTGGCTGAGGGCAGCATGTGCACTTGACTTCCCTGACATGTGCGACTGGCGCCTCCGCAACCCTTTCTTTCGGTTCTGTCCTAGAGGGCTGCCAGCCAGCAGCCTCGGTGTTTCACAAACATGACGTGACGGAATGACCTCCGTTTCACCTTCAGCCGATCCGGAGTTGCCTTTGCCGCCTGACGAGCAAGATGCAGACTGCGCCTGCGCAGAGACAAGCGCCTCGATGGGTCCAGGAGTCTTGGCTCTTTAGTAGAGGCCTTCAAGGCTCCTGTGCATGAGATGGCATTTGGATTTGGGCAGCAGGGCATGTGTCCGAGGCTGCGGCGATGCATCTGCACTTCCTCTTCCAAGCCGGAGGATAACCAAAAGCCACAAGTTCCTGGGCGTCCCAGACGTTTGCAAAGATGTCTGCACCAAGTGACGAAAAGCTCTAAGCAGTCTGCGTTGCTTGTTTGGATGTGTGAAGTGGTGCGAGGTTTGTTCCGCTGAGCCGTCCAGTTGGTATGGTGGACTTGGGGAGGGATCCTTTGTCTTACACGAACTGCGGGAGCTGCGCGTGCAGCAGCTTGTGTAGGGGCGATGGCTACCATGCGCCCCGGCAAGGCAGCTAGTGCACGTAGCATGTAGTTCTCAGTGAGCTGCTTCCTCGACTATCACCCTCGATTCTGTGGCCCCTGGCAGTGCCGAGGATTTCACGCAAACTCTTAGTACTGACCTGGGCTCAGTGATGCCGACGAGCTCAGACCAGGAAGCCGTGCACGTTTCGTTTTTAGCAAGATGATGGGAGTAGAAACCCTGAAGATTGCAGCAGACTGCACTGCATTTCTGAGACATCCGAGCTTCTTAAAAGTAGCTCTTTCCTTTCGGTCCTGCCTGAGAGGAACAGGATGCGTGGGCATCCCAAGACTTCATCGAATCCCGGAATCTTGTGTCGGCTGTCGGCGAAAGTGTCAGGCCTTGCACATGAGATAGTGCTGATGCCGAGCCCTTGCTATCAGACGGTTCTGAGCCCTTCTCAACAAGAACTGACTTGTAATTTCAATGCTGGGCCCGTTCCTGTGCGATTTCTTCCACTGAACTTCCCAGTCGTGTTGCAAGCTCGCAATGTGGGATCGTGAACGCGCTACATACCCCTCCGGCCTCGCCAGGCAGTCGCGCAAGTCCATCAGTTTCCACCGTGAACACATAGCAAACCTCACAGGCTGGAGCAGAACTTCTTGCCGTTGCTGTAATGGTTGCAGCTGCAGCAGCCTGGGCCAGGTGATGAAGAGGAGTTTGCGGGCCATGTCCTGCGTGCCTCCAAAGGAGGAGCAGACGTGGTGTCCGAGCTGTGCAGCGGAATCGAAGAGGCAATGTGACCGACTCAGAGATGCCAGCAAAGCGCAGACAGCCAGGGGCCAGGCCGGGCTGAGTTCCCTTCCGAGGTCCGACATTGAGGACTACCGATCCCAGCTTGCAACTATCTGCGTCAACGTGCGAAGTGCTGAGCACATTCGCCCCAGCGTCGTCCGAGAGAGCTGGGATGAGCTCCCCGATGAGACTGAAGCAGAAGGCGGCACTTCTAGCCCTCATGCCACACCTGCACGGTTCTTCCCATGTAGGACTGCGCACTTTAGAGTTCTCCTTGCGTGAATTGTTTGGCACGTTTCTTTTGCAGGTGCTGCGGCGAGCAGCCACCAGGCCGTAGGGTCACTAAGCTACGGACGTCACCAGCAAAGTTCGTCTAAGTTCGTTCGTGATGACTCCCAGCATCTCCCAGCACATGACTGCCTCGAGCACAGAAGTGCGCACTTCCTGGGTAGGTGCTGCTGCCAGCACAGAAAAGCGTGACTTTCCCGTTACCTTCAGACGATGATGATGAGGTTCGGGTCCAGCCGTTGCCTTCAAACTAGCTTCGTCCTAAACGCCAAGCAGCAATCAGCTCAAACGAAGCCCACTTCACAGGTAACTGGCAGAAGAGGCATCAACGCCCAGGCCAGACGAAGTAGCCGTCTCTGCGTGCAGCGATCGTTGCTTGTTTGCCAGGTGCTGAGCGAGCGGCCGGCCCTTACAGGCATGGTGGTGGGTTGATGAATCCCCACTGCTTCCCTGCCTTGATTATAGGCAGTGGAGATCTCCCGACCGAGCTGGAAACAAGGCGGCACAGCAGCTCGTTCGCTCCTGCAAGCTGCGTGGTTGCACAAAGCAGCTTTGCTTTGGACGAACGAAGCTGCATCGGCTGACCTCTGACTCTAACTCTAACAAGCATTGGTATGCTCAGGCTATCACCGGATAAAGCATCTGACTGGGCCTCGGCTTCGCGAACAGACAATCAGATGCGGAACGGGCGCTTCTTGATTCCTTGAGGGTCCGTTTCGGAGTGCCGGGGGCTGAGGATCCGGTCGGGCTCCAGAATCTCGGACCTGGGACGTGCCACTGCCAAAGGCCTTTTGAACTTCTAAGTCTCTAATCCAAGAGAAGGCAAGTAGCACAACCAAAATCTAGGCAAAGGAAATCTGCAAGCTCAATCTATGTAGAGTGCTCTAGCCCTACTGCGCTTTGCCATGGCAGGTCCTTTTCAATGGTCGGTTTTCTTCACGCGGATTGTCCACTCGCCCACGTTTGACTTGATCTTCGCTTGCGGCTGAGCAACGAACAATGCATTCCTGTGTCGGCTTTTCGGTAGGCAACCGTGGCAACTGTCGAATCACTGGAAAGGCAGTTCTCATCGTGCTCAGCAGCATTGATCGCGCCTCAAGAACTGTAGGATTTCGCCAATGGGGGTGGTTGATGATTGGATTCTCACTCAGGTCATGTCTCTACAGGTGCAGTTTCATGGCTTGGATGTTGGTGGCGCGGCTTGATAGAGACGTGTATGGAGCTTTACAAAGAGCCAGGGGGTGCTTGGAGATGTGAGACTCTCTGAGACCGGAAGCGTTTTTGGAGGCTACGGGATGGCTTACTTTGGCATGACGGTGCCTGCTGACGAGCTCTGGCCGGATGCCGTGGTGGTCTTCGACGTTATAGAGCTGATTCTTGGAGTCATCTTCGCTTTCGATCCTGAACTGCACTTCTTTTCGTGCCATCTGGCTCTGGGAGCTCAGAGTTAATCTCCCAGCCCAAGGAAATTGTGGCGAGAATGCTGGCTGCTCACTGCCGATTCTTCTGTGACTTGTGGAACGTAGTTGATCTGCACGAAGCTCAGAAATCGATGGATGTAGCGTCCAGCCTCCACCCGTCACTGACTGCACGAGAAGTAGTCCTCACCGTTGTTCCAAGGTGTGTTGTGATAGCCTGGGCCGCGACTGGGCTGCATGGAACCTCCGTGAGCTACATGCGCAGTAGCAAACGGCGGTCGCGGGCTTTCCTACCACTTTCGCTGAAACTCCGGCAGCCAACGGCCAGCTGCCTGAACTTTGCAGGTAGACACGGCCACGTCTGCGACGTTGCCGGTCGATCCTATGCTTCTGCGATTGGCACGGCTGGTGAAACTATTCCGCTTGGTGCGTCTTATCAGGCCGGTTCTGTACAGATTCGAAGGGTTTCCTTTGGTACCAGTACTTGAGCTTGCTGCACAGGAAGGTCAAAGGCTTCGATTCGCTCTACATCATGGTCCGGGGCCCGGGGTGCCTTGAGACAGGGAGGAGGTCCACCAAGCCGTCGCCTCAGGTCACGTCTATCAAAGCGAGCTTCTCCGCACTCCTTTGGTCTACTGTTCTTCTCTTTGCAGTGCTGACGAGCCCTTTCTGAGAGTCCATGTTGTTTTGTGCAATAGCTCTGGCTCGTTGATTGAAGTGCATCTGCAAGCTTAGATCTGAGGACAATTGCCCTGGTTCTGACAACCCTCGTGGAAGTGTACATTAACGACGAGAGCAATCCCATCGAAAGGAGGATGGAGGTCTTTGCATACTATGGCACCTTCACCCGCTGTTCTCTGCTGCCCGGCGGCACTCGGAGCATCTGCATTCGGCATGTTGCGTTGAAGCTTCGAAAGATGGGAGAGTTCTGTTTGACTACCCTTGGCAAGCCTCCATGGCCCTGGAGATCAAATAGGCTTCCCACGTTGTGCGATCCAGACGGCAGGTTTCGAGCATAGGAAGGGGGCAGAGAGCAAGGGAATGCTCAACTTTCAATGTGCAGCCGACGGTGAGCGCAGCGCATCGCAAATAACGTAGGCAGAGCCTTCCTTATGGCCAAGGACGCTTCTTGAGTTGACCTTGGCTAACTGGGTCCCGGCGTCTCGTATCTTGACGGCCGCTTGCTGAACAGGAGGTTTCATCAGGGGTAGATGGGAGAAAAGAGCCAAGCTAACTGAAGCGGGGGCTGCCCAGAGCAGGACGGGACAGGACAGCAGTGACAGCTTTTCGCGGCTGGCGGGGGAGCGATAATTCAACACGAGTCTCGGACTGCGCTTGCCTATGCACACGCTTCGGCACTCGAGGAATATGTCAGTGAGTACTACACCATCTTTGTGCTGGCGTTTCAAGCATCGATGGGTTTTTCAGTGGTGAAGGCACCTCGGCTCTTGTCTCGTCGCCGGTAAAGTTTCTCATGTGGCTAGCATTTACTTGTTGCCCGTGCTTCTTACTTTCCCTGTCCCTCTCTCGATGTTTCTGGATTTCTCCTTCTCGATCAAGGTCATTATGGGCGTTTTCCTGCAGAACACATTTGCCGTAGCTGCCAACGATGATGTGTGCCCTAGCAGCATTCAGCATGCTGCAATCA